GAAGTCAACATTACCCAGAATAAGATGGATGGTGTTCTGTTGGTTTCCCTTGAGAAGATACCAACTAAAACAGGTCCAAATCCTATGAGACACCTTGGTACTGTGGATGGGCAGAATGCTGCACCACCTAAGAAACCATGGGAAACATTCTTTGTTGGTAGAAATCAGGGCAATCATGAACAGCCAAGATTTCTTGGTGGTGCGAAATGGATTTCGTCCATCCACAGTATGATTTGTTTTGCAGCGCTTCTTTGTTCGCCGTGTCTACTGGCTTGGTGGCGGGTCCTTGATGGCATTGAATGTCCAGCTGCGGGGTAAAAGTCAGAGGCACCTTACCCCTACTGTGGATGGACGAAATCCTGCACCCCTTTGAAACCATGGGAGACCAATATAGGTTGGTATTTGCAGGGGAATCATCATTCCAATGTTTCTCAGGTGGTGTAGGATTTCGTCCATCCACAGTAGTTGGTGGTTTGCATTGGTTTGGACTTGAGAATTTGAACCCCCTCTTGTAGGGGGTAAATGGAAAACCCACCAAACCACCAATCCAAAGCACCAATCCAAAGCACCAATCCACAGCACCAATCCAAAGCACCAACAAGGGGGGAGCCGAGTATAGGCACCAATCATGTCTTGCTTCACCAACCTGACATGGGCCTGTCTTTGCTGAGGCTACTCCTTTTGCTTCGCTTTCAAGGGAACGGACTCCCAAGCATTTTGGGGTGTCCGATTCCTATTTGGAGACAATTGCCAGTGTTCAGATCCAGGCTATTCGACATACGTTGTCGTCCAAAGGTCTTCAGTTGGGTTCGTCTCAACATTGAGCACCGAACTGGTGGACAGTTTTGTTGGTTTCCCTTTAAATCTAACCGAAACTGGGTTTGCCAGAAAAGACGCACCTAGCCAGCGCTTGCGAAGAGCATGATCAGCTGGGGTGCAACATTAGTTAGGTCCCCCAGTAGTGTCCTTTTACCGACTTTTTTTGGGGGGGTTCCCCTACTCAAATAGACTACAGAAAAAAGGTTGGTACCCTTATTCTAACCTCTCTGCTAAAGGACCTGGGCTCTTTTGGGCTTGGCTCTTTTGGGTTTGGCTCAGGCCGTGACCTGCACTTTGGGTTAATTGGAATGGTGCTCGCTCCCGAGACTCCCGGAGCACGTGAAAGTTCTCTGCTGAAAGGTTCCATGAGAGAAGGGACATACCATGTCAGGCTAAGATGCGGGGTGGGCTTTGGCTTATTTATGAGTCCTGATGGAAACATCTTTCTGCATACCTCGGCCAGAACGAATTGATCGCTAGGAGGGGCGCTATGCCAAAATGATTGCCCGGCAGCTGCAAGGATGCTTGGACTAATCTTGAGGCTGCAAGCTGCGATCTGATTGAAGGTCGCATTTGAGCACGACGTATGTGGGCTGCCCTTGAGCACCCGCGATGCGATTTGAGTTTCTTTTCACATCTGACTCTTGTCACGGTCGTTGTCGCCATTGTTGTAGGCGATTTTCCAGCAACATGCTTGTCGTCCCATGTCAGCTTGTTGGTTGCCAAATCTCAAGATTCGGGGCCCCTACTTGGATGTTCGGCCAAGTTAGTAGGTGGTTAGCCACTTGGGGTGTAGCAGTGTAGCCCCCTTACAAAGGTTAACCCCACTTAGGGGACTCATAAGCGGGTTATAACCGAACGGTCTACAACAACTTACCGACTTCGCGAATCGAACACGCAAGTAGCTCCCTTAGATCGGCGTTGGCCCACTGTATGAGTTTGACGCCGGCTAATATGCACTTCCCAGCACATTGCCACATCCAGACATGTATATGTCCTGCAAATGTTTGACATTGCTTGACTTTGCTTCCTGTGAAGAGATTCGACTGTCATCCGGATGGAAGCAGCAATCTGTTCAAGCTTGATGTTATCAAGGTTGGAGCCATGGTGTTGGTTTTCAACTTGCATCTCCTCCCCAACTAAGTGTCGGATGTCCTTAAGCTCTGGCCTATCTCAGCATCGCATTAAGACTGATTCAAACGGTTGCCTTTGTAGGTGACACGATTTTGCGTCAGCCTGACAATGTCTCCTGAAAAGAGGGTTGTGGGGAAAATTACATCGATATGCAGATGTGCACGTCAATGTACAAAATGGTTGTGCGGTCTGCGTCGCGTCTGCCATTCAAACACTTGCATTGAGAGATCATACAGGGCTGCAACATCATCCTATGCGTCAGTGGCATAGCTTCAGACGCCCATAAGAACCTGGATGTGACCACAAACTGTGGCGCTACGCCCATAGCTTCGAGCCGTTCTCTTTGGAGCTAAAAAAAATCATCGCGCTGTGACGTTCGCTCCACGATTTTTTTCAAAAGTGCCTTCCAAAGGCGCGCATCAAGGCTTTGGCTCAAAAGGGCCATGGTAGGTTCTACAAGGGGCATTGTACTTAGGTGGTTAGCAAGCCTGATAACTCACTTGGGAGATAAGTGTAGGCCTTTTTTTAACCACTAAGTGCAATAATCCCCGTCATTAAGGGGGGGGGAGTGGGGGACCTCCAAAAATGAAATTTCACTGGGGTACTCCCCCCCTCAAATTACAATTGTTAGGGGGGGAGATTAGTGCAATGCCCCAAGTGCTGGTGTTGCGGGTTTTTCAGCAGTCCCGAAAAAACGCCCCTGGCCATTCGAGCCCGAAGGGGTTTTGGGTCGCTGCTCACATGGTCGGTCAAAGATATGTACCCCAAATGGCGCAAGCCCTAAGTGGAAACCTGGACCCAAACCTGCAGTCCAATTCCTGGTGTAACTTTGACCCGTACAGTTCCTGCGGAGTTCATTCCGGCTTCTTCTTCATTCTTGAAGCATGGTTCTGGGAGTACGACCATTTTAATACAAAGGGTTTGGATTGTGACTCATGGAGTCGCAGAGTCGCTGTGGTTTGATCACCAGACTTGCCGTTTGAGGAGGGGACGAAGCAGATGAGGGCGAGGAGAAGACGAAGACGGCGGGGCTGGGGGAAGTGGCGCGGGAGCGGTTTGGCCCATTTTGCCAAGGTGGCTATGGGTCAAGACCGTTTTGGGATCCCATTTTGGTTGGAAGGTGAATCGGATGTTCACTGGGGGTACGATTTGGATTTGGACCCCAGCAAGGCGTCCTTAGTTTTAACGCTTTCGCGCATGCCACATGTAAACCGCTCTCATTGAAGCAGTTCAAGACAAGCGAGAGCGGACTATGGCGGATTGTCTCATTACCAGTTCATTCCATTTTAATTAGTTCCGCACGTCGATGAGATCAGAGCGCTCCCGCAAGCAACAAGCTTGCCTGCTGATGCCTATCTTTGTTACTGTTGTAGTAGGGCGATGTGGAACATGGTGACATTGAACGGGGCAGCAAGCACTAGCCGTGCTGAGAACCTGACTATGCATCATCAACAATGATTCAAGTCGTTTGCTTGTGTTCCAAGGTGCACATGGGCCTTGTTTTCCAAAATATGAATTGAGCCCCCCACAAATGGTTGGTTTCCTTTTGGCTTTCCTTTCAACCAACCCCAAAAAAGGGTAATGTCGACCCCGGACAAATAAACCCATCCCATTATCAGAGGGGGGGGCACAAAAGTGGCCTAACAGGGAACACCCCTCAAATCAGCATCAACCAGACGTTCTAGATTCGGGGTCAACATTACCCCTCGCCGCAAAACAACTGGCTGCTCAGCATGTGGGAATGACCCCGAAAGACACACCATCCCTTGTGGTTTCCTTTGAGGAAATCCCCCAAAAGTCGGTTCCTTCCCAACCCCCGGGTTTCGGTCATTCCCCGAGCAGCAAGAAATGGACTCGCCTGAAGGCCTTCGACTCGACTCGCAGGTGGCTCAGGCACACCAGGAGATCATGCGCATCATCGAGTCGATGCCGGAAAAGGACCGGAGAGAACTGATGGCCGGAGTCATGAAAGCCAGCAAGGGCAAAGGCAAAGGGGCCTAGCCGCCTAGCCTTACAGGGATTCCCGGAGAAAGCGCGACATCGCCCTGGTGTGATCCATGTTAATTGTTTATTTTGTTGCAAGATCCAGGTTGTTGCTGCTTACCAAGGGAATCCATCTTCCTCATGTCGAACAGGCCGACTGTAGGGTTCGCTTATGCCTGGTGAAATGAATGTTGTTTAACCTGCCAGACAGCGGGTGTCACATTGCAAAGCCCGGCTCCTCGCAAGAGATAATTATCACGATGCAGATTCTGGCGCGTATGCCGTTTGCAACCTTGGCGTGGAGTTTCACGGCGTTTCCGCATATGGCACTCTAGCCATTTGCGTTCGATTAGAGTCGAAAGGGCTACGGTCTGTGCCTCAATGTCTCAGCATGTCTCAGCATTTGTTTCCAATGTCTCAGCATTTGTTTCCAAGATGTGGCCAGAGCAGACCTCTGCCCCAAGCGATCTCCAGCGGAGACTTTGTAAAGGTCTCAGGTGAGCCACTATCAGAACCTGGGTAGATGAAGGTCAAGGGACAATCCCAGCCATAAGCTGGGCTGCGGGAATCCGCCTTCGTTCCTTACATGGTTCTGGGTCAACTATTTTAATACCGGGTTTTGATTCTGACTCATTTCGCACCACCTAAGAAACCATTGAAGCCATTTTTCAGGGTTTGATTGCGACTCACCTCGGCCAATCCAAATCAGGTGCCGTTGAGGCGCCCTTGGCACAGATGCGCTCTACAAAAATCGCAGCGTGGGGGGATTCGGGTCCTGAGATCGCGGGATCGAGGGTCGGATCTGAGGCACGTTCCTTAGGTTGGAGCCGTGAACATGGATTTCGGTGGTTGGTTTCCCTTGAAAACCACCCAAAGAGGGGATATCCTCAAAAAAAAAACACCCTTACGGGGTTTTCCTCAGGTGAAAGGTGCAAGGAGGTAGCCACCAGACTGCATCAATGTGGTACAAGCTAGGCTTGCGCTGTGGACCAGTATAGTTAGGTGATTCCTGAAGGGAAATGCTTGGGCCTCACTGCATCTTGTTTCACGCAGCTTTCACTCAGGCTGCACACCTCCGACAAGCTCTACAATACCGGCACCCCTCCGGGAGTCGTCATGGGTGCCTACCTCAGGAGCGGCCGTGTGCACCAAGTTTCTTGCTTCGTTTGGAAGCTGAGTCACAATCAAAACCTGATAGATGAAGGTTAGTGAGGGAAAATCCCAGCCAGGAATAGCTCCGGGAATCCGCCTTCTTAGTTCTTTACATGGTTCTGGGTGCACCATTTTTGTACCGGGTTTTGTACCGGGTTTATCTCTCATTTGGAAGCTCGGGTGTACTGGCCTCATTATTTTACCATCAAAGTCACCCCCTAAGTGATGGGTTAAAGGGAAACAAGCGATTCCATTTTCTGACTTTGACAACACGTAGAAACAATCAAAATAATGACCCCAGGTGTACCTATGCACATGTGGAGTGCACTTGTTGGATTCGATTTCAAGTTTGGGGCTTCAGTGTTCAATTTATGCTGCAAATGGGGCATCAAGATTTGTTGATGGTTCATTGTGATCTATCGGAAAGATGCATCACTTGTCTGAGGCAGTCGTAGTTTGGGCGTGTCATGACATCGGCGCGACATTTGCGGGGCCGGGTAAACATGTCCGATCTTCATTAAATTAAATGGCATTGCAAGCTATTTTCCAGCCCACTGGGTGAACGCATTTCGCGATGATTCTTTGTTGTTTTTTTCCAGACACCCACTCACTCCCTGAGTTCTCGGACTCAAACTACTTGTTGTGTTTGGACCATAGTGGCCAGCAGCAAGTTTGGGAGCTGTTTCTGCCAATCGATCTGGGCTGTTCAAAGGCAATCCTTAGTCCCTAGCTTGGGTTATTCAATGGTGTCCCCTTTGTCGCTTCCCGGCATCTACATCTAGGTCCCCCAGTAGTGCCCTGTTAGCCTTTTTTGGGGAGGGTTAATTGAGACTACAGAAAAAAAGTTGGTACCCTCATTCTAACCTCTCTACTGGAGGACCTAGTATTTCATTATGGCAAAAATCGGATTGGCCAAGCCAAACCATTTGAAGAGCCCAGTCGACGAAAGGCGTGCGCCGCTCGGCTGAGGTCTTGCGTGGACCGCTAGCGGGGGGGCCACCCTCTACGTGGAAGCGCGAGGCGCGCACCCGACCTTTGAACGTGTTTTCTTGCTCGCCAAAGGAGGGCTTTCCACTTGGAACTGGTTTGCTTAGAAATGGCTTGATTTTTATTGGGGAACCACATTAAAAGTACCCGGTGGACATGAATCCCAACCTAAATGATGTCCACCAAAAGGTCCCTTATTGAAATTCATAGCCAAATGAGCAATTTGTTTTATTAAATGCACTTGCATGCAATGGGAAGAATCAAATCGACTTTACACATGGTTTAGTTCTTGCGCATGTTCAAAGAAAACAAAAGCAAGAAACGCTGTGTGTGTCTTTACTACTGCGCAAGCGTAGAACACAAGGACACAATGTAAAACCAAATGTTTTCTTTTCATGCCCAACTCAACGTGGAATGGGCCCCAGAGAGCACAATCCGGACGGGGGTTTCGGCATCTTAAACATCAGTCGACCACTTATAAGAAACACCATTCCAGGCAGTCTAGCATTTTATTAATCTGTACTGTCAATACACAAGAACTATTTACAAGGACTTTGAAAGGCAGATCATGGGGGGGGGGCTGAGAATATGTGTGTACATGACATATATATATATATGCCACCCCCCCCCCCACTGCGATCCGCTTTTTTGATGGTTTTGCTCTTCAGATGGGCAGATGTCTTGCGCCTTCAGATAATATATATATATAGATATAATATATCTTCGCACTTCATGCAGTTCTGGTTGCTGTCCAGAGCGCTGCTCTCTCTCTCTCTCTCTCTCGCTCCGAAGGCCGCATGCCCTGCGGGAGGCGGCAGCCGGGGCTGAGCGGGGGGCGGAAGGAAGGAAGCGCTGAGCGAGATGTGGGTGGGGGGGGGGGGAGGTTGGAGGTTGGAGGTTGGAGGTTTCGGTTCCGGGCGAGATGTTTTTTTTTTTTCTTTTTTTTGTTGGAAAGGTGAGATTCGTGCGGCTCCCGTCTCGCCTTTGAGGGAACAACGCGAGCGCTTTCAAAAAGGGTTGGGCAAATGGACTTGTTCTTTTTCGAGGGCACCTTCTTTTGGGGTTGGAAACTAGAACGGAAACACATTTTTGGGGTCCGGATACGCGCACACGTTTATTTTTTACAATCAGACCATTGAGCAGTCGACCCTTGTAAATCAGGTCGCCCCTTTCTTAATTAGATTTGGATTGTTTGGAGATTTGAACACCTGATTCGTTTCGAGCGCAAATGGGAAACCAGCCCTAACCAACAAACCGGGCTCCAAAGCACCAATGAGGTAGGGAAGCCGAGAGTGAAGGCAGTTGTCGCATGTCGCATGACAATGGGTGGCTTGCCACCACTGCTTCCCAGAATTCCCAAAGTCTGACTCGCGCCTTCCGCGGCTGCGCGGAACCAGCGAAACAGCTTGTTTGCATCCAGGTCCCGAATTTGAACCGCACCCACGGCCCAGACTTTTGGGGACTGTTTGGCTATGATCTGTCAGAGTTGGCACGGGCAGGGGCCTTTTTGTCCCCAAATGATGTGCACCAAAGGGTGCCTCATTCAAATTCACACCAAGGGACGCACAAAGTGGAAACCCTGGGAGGGGGGTGCAATTTTCCTCACATTTTAGGCAAGAGACGGGCGCCAGTGCAAAGAAATGCCCATAGCAGGCTTGCGTGGCAAAGCTCCCTGCTTTGAGCCAAATGAAACAAGCTCACCTGGATTGCTTTGGGATCTCTAGATTCAGGGTTTGGACTTATAGCAACATTTGCAGATCATTTCTCACTTGTGTGATACTACAAGCAATTGGGATGTGGCTATGAATTTTAAGAGGCATCCCCCTACAAAGCGGTCGGTTGTTGGAGAGGACTCCCCACCGAATTTTGATGTCCAGCAAAGGATCGCTAGAACTCGTTTCTGGGGGTTCTCAAAGTCAGAACATTGAATCGGTTGTTGCCCTCCATCCCCACCACTTGGATGACTTTGGTACAAGAATGAGGCCAGTTGGGTGGTTTTTGAGATTTTAGCAAACAACTGGTAAAGCCAAGGACTGACGCCGGGTAAAACCTCGTGAAACCGAACACCGAAAAGCCGAAAAGGGCTCCGCGCCTCGTTCCTTTGTCGAACACTGGAAAGCCAAGAAGGTCCTTTTCGAGGGAAGCTTAGGCAGAACTATCCCTCCCTCGCCTTTGGCTAAGGACACATGAGCCACTTGCTCAAAACGGTAGATGAAGGTTAGGGACAATCCCCTTGCCATAAATAGCTGCGGATATCCGCCTTCTTAATTCTTAAAGCATGGTTCTGGGATTACGACCATTTTAATACAATGGGTTTTAATTACTCACCTAAAAGGACAGCATGTGAGTGCCAGGGTGCAGGGTGGCCTGGCGGCTCTCACCCCGGTGGCCCGGGGCACTCAGAAAAAAATTGGGTCGGTATCCTTTTCTAAGGATGGTGTGGAAGAGCTCCTTTTGGGATCTGCTTTTCTTTTTTGTCAGGTTTCCCCAAAAAAACGGTGTGTTTGTTTTTGGATCTGCTTTTTTGTTTTTTTTTTCGTCTGGTTTCCCCTAAAAAAAACGGTGTGTTTGTTTTTGGATCTGCTTTTCTTTTTCGGCAGGGTTCCCCGGAAAAAAAAAAAGAGTGTGTTTGGATGGGGGGGGGGGGTGATTTTTGGATCTATCTTTTTTTGTCAGGTTTCCCGAAAAAAGGAGAAAAGCAACGGTGGTTTGGATTGGGGGCGATGTTTGGATCTGCCTTTTTTGTCAGGTTTCCCGAAAAAGGGTGGGTTTGGCTTTTGGGCGATTTTTGGATCTATCTTTTTTTGGTCAGGTTTCCCGAAAAAACGGTGGTTTGGATTGGGGGGCGGGATTTGAGTCCCTGGTGGTAAAAAGGAAACCAGGCCACAACCTCCAAACCACCAATCCAAACCACCAAATAGAGGAGGGACCGGCAAACGAGCAGGGGATGAGCATTTACCCACCTACCAATGAGCAACTAAGCAAAAATGTAGGTTTCCAATCGCAAGCCAGAGTTTCATCCATCCCTGGTTCAAAACGGATTGCGTCGACCAGTAGTTCGTAAAAAAAAAAAAAAAAAAAAAAAAAAAAAAAAAACGGGTGAAAGAGGGACATTCTTGAAGCCCCAGTCTCACTGCTCGTCAGGGTGGCTATGAATTTTGAGAGCTGGAACCTCAAAAGTGGGTGGTGGATGTTTTTGTTTACGCGCAGGGATGGTCATGAATTTCAATAGGGGAAATTAGGGCTCCCCAGGAAAGCGGTTGGTGGACCTTCCCCCCCTGCCCACCTACAGGATGTCCACCTCCCTGTGGATGGTTGCGAAATCCTGCACCGCACCACCGTTCAGGAACTGGGTGTCTCGTCTGATTCCCCCAAAGTAAATACCGTTACAAACGTTGCGGTTTCAACAGGGGTCCTTAAAAGATACATTTTGCCACCATTTGAAACATGTGGTCTTTTCCACACCAAAATAAAGTTGGAAACCACCAGAAAACAAGTTGCAATGTTCAGGGGTAAAATGTAAAATGGCTAGCTAAATTCCATGGCTATGGCTATGGCTATGGCTTGACCTAGCGCCTAGGCAAATGGACAAGACTACCGCGGAATGCATCCGGATCCACAGTCTAAACAGTCCCTTGAAGCTGGCCAAAACACAGCGAGAGGCTGTTGCTAGAGGAAACTAACGGAGAGGCCGGTACTTTGGTGCATAAGCCAAGGGATGTTAGGACTGAGCAACTTTTTGCCAACGAATTTGGGTTTTCCGTATGAAACCACTGAAAATTAGTCACTTTTAGCAGGGGAGCAGATTTCGCAACTGAGAGTAGATACTTGCAGGTGAATATGAAACCCGACGTCGGCGTGGTTTCAGCGGATGTCGCGCTCTCCGCTCGATTTGATGCCCAGGAAGTGGAGCCCCAGGTTGAGAAGCCAAAGCAGAATGGCAGCATGCAGGCGATGGATGCGGGTGCGGGTTGTTGTGTTTTTTGGGGGGGGGGCTCGGTGCCCCGTTTTGGGTTTGCTGAAAGGGAAGTTGGAGAGAAACCGCGAAACTACCTTTTGCTTGTTTTTCTTTTGGGGGGGTTGGCCAAATTAATGGAAAACCCCTATGTTGGTTGGGTTGTTCGTTGGCTTGTGGATTGCTTGGATTGAATCTGGGCTTGGCGTGTTGCTTTGTTGGCTTGTAGTTGGCTCCTTGGCTTTTTGCTTCGATTTGTCAGGCTTGGTTTGCGCTAGCTGCCTGTCGCCTCGTAATGAACAAAACAAGACGTGGTTGCCTTGACAGTTGTGCTGCCGGCTTGCCAGTGCGTCACTTTCTCGGTGTGCTGTGTTGTGTGGTGTGGTCTTTTTCTGGCAGACCAGCCCGAGTTCGAATCACAGCTGCCGATGGGTTCGGGCACACCTTTCCTTCATCAAGATATCCATGGCCAGGAATTGGATTGGGCTCCTGTGAGCTGACCGTTGAGCAGCGACATTGGCTTCAAAAACTCACATAAATAATATGTTGAATCATCGGAGACTCTACACAGAAAACCCCATATTGTAACATCGCCTTTTTGCTCCATTTAACGCGAGTTTCTCTGGGTAGGGGGGGTGTTTTCAACAGGAAGAGAACTATGAATTTCCATCCTCACAATTGGATTGCAGCCATGGATCTCCATCTAAATGTCCACCGCGTCCTTCCTTTTGCTTGAGACTTCCGGCCTATGTTCCTTGGTGAAAAGCAGGGAATCGATTTCAGCACCGGGAAGAAAAAAAAACCTGTTCTCATTTTTGTTGCTTGGTGGCAACCCCAGGCATCCGGTTCCTTAGGCCTAAAAGGCCTTGTGTTAAGCTGTCAGCGGGGGATCTGAGCGACTTGGAAGTGGTTTGCTCTTGACATGAGCCATCTTTCATATAGGTGGGAGAGGTGTCAGCCCGGTGTATTTTTCACGCCTTTCCAGGAGCTTCGCTTCCGGGCCTGCCAAGTGAACCCCAATGTTGACCCCGGTCTAAGCAGAACCTGTCCCATTAGGGGGGTGGCAACCCTCCAAAAGTGGTCTGAATCCAAGCACTAAAAGGAATTGGACACCCCCGGATCAAAATCAACCAGGGGTTCTGCTTCATCCGGCCTTGGGCCTTTCTTGGGTCTGTTGCTGCAGGTCACGGGACAGCTGGGCAGCGTGATGAGCGAGCTTGGGCCTCGAAAAGAGAGCGGAAGTCTCGAGGAATGCGGGTTGGACATGCAGGAAAGCTTCTAGGTCCCGCTGCCATGCACTGGTGCTGGTTTCATGAGTTACCCCCTAAGTGGTGCTTACCTCTTAAAAACACAACTTTTCAACTTTTTGGGTAACATGGGCTATATGTCTGTAAAAGATTAACTTCCCCAGGGCTTGGAGTTTTAAGGGGTAAGGGTGGGTTGAAGGGAAATAACCGATTCCATGTTCTGACTTCGATAACCCCCAGAAACCGTCAAAATATTGACCCAGTGGTATTGCTTGTAGATGAATCATGTGTTATGTAGAAAGAAGGTCGCAGTTCGAGAAGATTTCGGTTCGCTACTTAAAGCTGCAGGCTACTTATTTCGTAAGCCTTGTGATATCTCACAAAAGCCATGGTTATAAGTCTCCTAAGTGGGTCATAAGCAGGCTTACTGACCACTTACTAAGTACCTTACCACTTTAAGTACTGTAGCTTCATCAAATAATGATAGTTGAGGACAAATTTTGGAAACAAACGAACCCCCGCATGAAGGCTATAGTCAAAATAGAGATGGACTCTAACACTTGTGCTTGTCTTACACAGACTATTGGTTCCTTGAATGTGGCTTTGTTCAGCGTCCTTCTTTCTACCTTGAAAGATCGTGCAAGTATCATCATTGTCTTCATGGTGTAGATAGAATTAAGATGATTGAATCTATCATTCATTTTGAATTGGGTCTTCTAGTTCTATTGTTACCGTATTGTTACTAAAAGTTTCTTCCTTATTCAAAGTTTCATTTTGCAAGCTTGCTTGGACCCGGCCCCACGGAAAAACTGGGGCTTTGTTGCCAACCCGTGCCCATGTCAAGAACGCAACGGTGTCCCAGTTGTAAGAGGCTTTCGATGCTTGACAAAGCTGGTCGATGAACACATTCCCTTTAAGTCATCATTCACTTTCCCTGTGATCCCCCTGCTAACACAGTCTGGGGTTCTCACCTTTTCTTACGCGATGCGTTTACACGACATCGCGTGCTTCGCGACGAGAAATTTGTGGAACTTCCAGCAACGAAACCTTCCCGCGGTCGAGCACCTTTTGATTTAGGAGCTCAGCCAAGCGCCCAATTGCTTTGTTTCTTTGGGTCACCTTTTGTGTAATGAAAGCATGTATTAAAAAAAAGAAGAAACAAAAAAGCGAAGCCCTGGGTACCAACCTATTTTGCCTCGAACGGCATGTTGGGCACAGCAAAAGTGGGCCTGCCGCACATATGGCCCGGTGGATCTAACATGTTGGCCACTCGAGTCGGTTTTTGGGGTCGCAAGCCCTTGGCTGCCTGCCTCTAGGTAAATGGAGGCGGGTGAGCGTGAAGGTTATTTGAGCACCCCCAAAAGTGGGCATGGATCTCCGGAAATTTCTATGGGCGCATTCAGATTTTCACCCAGGCGTGGTTTGCAGGCTGGTCCTTTTAGTATATCTTTCAAAGGAAACACGAGGTTTCAGAGACTCAGAAAAATCAGGTTGAGAACCCCCCCCCCTACATTTTCCTGTTTTGTCTTTTCAGGATTCCCCTTTTGGGGGTGGGTTTTCTGGAGGAGAAAGGGGACACGTTTTTGTTCGAGGCTACCCCTTTTGTTTTGTTGGGGGGGGGAAGGAACAGGAACAACAGGTTAGTTTTTCGAGGATACCCTTTTTGGGGGATTGGTTATCTAGGTCCCCCAGCAGTGCCCTTTTACCCTCTTTTTGGGGGGAGGGTTCCGAACCCTACTAAAATAGACGACAGAAGAAAGTCGGTACCCTGATTCCAACCTCTCAAATCTGGAGGACCTTGTTGTTGTTTTGTTGGGGCTTAGCCCCTGTAGGGGAAGACCCGACCCGTGCGGGGGCTCCCAATCTTGGCGTGCCATAGGTCCAGCTCCATCTCGCTGACCTACGCCCGGCTCTTTATGCGGGAGCAGGGGCACCTGGCCTGGGCTTGGATGGAAGCCGATCCACTCGGTTTTTGGTCCGGAAGCCGAGGGCCTTAAGAATTGGAGGCTGGTTCATATGGCGTGTCTCTTTTTGTTGGAGTTGGTACGTTGGTACTGGTTTGTGTTTGTTTTTCTTTTTGTGGGGGGGGGGGGGTATTTACCCCTCCCCCCCCCATTCATGGTGCTTCCCCAGGAGGAAAATAGTCTTGCAACACTTCCATGATTGTTGGAGGGAGGGTAGACTCTGTTTCATTTGGTGCGTCTTTTTGGTGTTGGTACCTTGTTTTGGGGGTAAAGGGAATCCAAAAGGGAAACCGAGATCCGTTTTTGGAGAGTTTGGGGCCACCATATTCTATATAGGGGTACCTTCCATCTCCATTCTCGCTAGGGTCCTTCATTCTAGAAAACCTCTGGGAGAAAAACAAACAAAAACAAAAAACAACGGCGATCGGTTTTTGAGAAGAGCGATGTTTGAAAAGCATGGTTGCAACAAAACCCCTAGACATATATGGGAACACTGCCGGAAGGAACCTTTGATCGAAGCCTTAGCAAGAACCTAGATCGGTAGCGGGGGCAATGGTTCCTTCCTGGATCGCCTTGCTGCTTTTTTCCAGACACTTCAATCTAAAAACAGCCACAGTTGCTGGGAAAGAACGGCAACTGGCGATCCAGGTTGGCAAAAGTGGCTTACGAATGACCAATTTTAATGAGAGGACCACCCCTGAACCGCAGGCAACTAGACGCCCAATGCGATTGGCTCGGGCGATGGAGTACGGACATCGGCTGCCCAGGTTTGTTTGATTCCCAGACACTCCACGTATAGGGACTACTTACCCACATCCCTCCAAACGGGCCAAATGTCGGTATATACATGGAGTATGTGACATTGGGAGTTCGATTCCGAAGCGTCCTGTTTGCACGTCTGCGAGTTGTTTTTATGTGTTGCGCCCGGATGCTATCAACACACGTGGGAGCGGCACGTGTCACGCCTGAAGGAGTTCAAGAAGGGACCCGCTTTCAACGGCTTCAGCTCCCCAATCTTAGACCGGTATGACTTGAGTGTCAGATGCCCTGGTTTCAGAAGCTGAATGCCATCCTCTTGGAGCTGAATCTCCTGGCTTTCCTGGCTGCTTGTCCCCAAGTTCTCCGCCCTTTAAGACGGAGCCGCGCCTTATCCTGAGGCTAGATCCCGAGAACTCTTTTCTGGATGCGGCCAACATCCACCTGCACGTTCCAGAGGGCGCCACACCAAAGGCAGGCTGCCGGCTGCGTGTTTTTTTCCTTCTTTTTGTTTCTTCTTTTTTTGCGACGATGTCGTGTGGAACCAAGGGATACATGAAAATAGGGTTTTCGAGCCGGAGCTGGCTTGGCTTTCACCAACTAATGAACTTTGCTAGGATACCCTTTGGTGGACATCATGTAGTGTGCACCAAAGAGATGGTTCCCTCTTCAAAACCATCGCCAGCTTTCCTGCATGTAGTTGATCGAGCCTTCAGTTCAGATTCTTACACAGCGGGTCCAGTTTTGTGGTTTTCCAGAGTCAAAATGTTCCGAGATGGTGTCATTTTGGAAGCTTGAATTATTGGCCAAGCCTTGCAAATGTTTTATCGTTTACGCAGCCTTTTGAGGAACAACCTTTTAGTACCCCCTCCCCCACCCGGGTAAGCCATTTTGGTACATGTTTTTGAGCCATAGCCATATGCACCAATCCTCCCAGCGCAACCTCCAGCCTCTTTTTGAAAGGAACCTACCCTTTTCCCCTCGCCCCCCGACAAAAAAACCACACACACACACAGACACCCACCAACACCTCACTTCCTGAGCTCATGAACTTCAAACAGTTTGGTGACCATATTTTAGTGGCACATATCTAAAAAGTTTGGTTCCTTCTTTTGTTTGCCATCCACTCAGCCAGTGGGGGTGACACCCCCCCTAGTTCCGGGCACGCCTTCCGCCTTTTCCTTCTGGGGGGACCTCTCGACACGCGCCGAATCCGCGCCCAGCGCCCGGGGCCTCCGGCGGCCGTGAGGACGGGCCTTCGGCGGGGGTGACGATGACCTCGGCGCTGCTGAGCAGCGCCTTGGAGCAGCCGCTGCGGGCCGGGGGTCCTGGCGCGCGCCTGGGGCGCGGCGAGAGGGGGCGAGAGAATTATGTTCCTGGCGGTGGCTGATTTTTTTATTTGTTTATTTGTTTAAATGAGACCATGGGATTGCAATTTTTCGTTTTTTTTTTTTTTTAGGATTTTCCTGGTTGCGAAATTACATTTTTTTTTATGAAACCATGGGATTGAAACCACAATGTTTGGTGGTTACAGAATAATCATGTGGGTGTAGATGTGTGTGGTCAAAAAGACCGGTTCCTTTGCTCGAGACCGGTTCCTTTGCTTGGTAGGATTCATTCTAACTGTTCTTAAGGATCCTTACTAAAAATGGTGCGTGACCATTTTTGCTAAGCCCAAGTGAAGGGGTGTTTGACCAGATGTGGGTCAAAATTAAGCCACCAGGATATGGACCGGGTTTTGGTCCCTGTTGCCACTTACCAGGGCAAGCCATTTTGGGTACCTATTTTTGACCCACGCCCATATGGGCTAGATGTGTGCCATGGTCAGATTTGACCGGTTCCTTTGCTTGGGGCTTATGACCAGGGATGGTCATCCACCTGTAGGGATCCTTAATATCCATGAAAATTCTGGTGAAGGGAACCCATGTCCATAGGCCATGTAAGAAATATCATACGTTTTGGCCATTGCTCCCATGTGGGTGTGTCCTTCTGGAGGTTTGAGAGGCCAACCTAAAGGAAAAGCACCAGTTTAAGGACTAGGGCCTAAATGATTAGAACGCGGTTATGCCTCCCTCCCTTCCCCCCCCCCTCCCCCCCTTCAGTTGGGGGGTTCTCAAAATGATGGGCTTGTTTTTTTTGTTTTTGGTTTTTTTGTGGTGCTGAAAGGAAGCCAAAAAAGTACACCCCAGTTTGACCTTCCGCCATTTTGAGGCTCCCCTATTTTGAGATGAAACCACAAGGATATGCAACCGAACCGCCAGCTACCAGAGACTTCGCTGTTGTTGGCATGTTTTTTTGTTTTTTGTTTGTTTTTAGGTTCTGTTCAATGTATGTACGGGGCTGCACAAAAAGCACTTCCGTTTTTTTGCAAGCCCGGGGGTTGGAAAGGAAAGGCACTATGCTTCCGGCTTCAAAAGCACACTTGCAATATGGCGATCGTCGGCAGTGCCGCAGGTTCCCATCCGAGGCCTCGCCGGTTCCAGAGAGACGTACCGAGTTCACACTCCTTCGCAGCTGGTTTTGTGGAAACGTCATCCCAGCCGCACACCCACATGCATGCAGCCATGTTTTTTGAATTGCCTGTTTGGGGGAATTCTTGAAGCGGTGAGATGAAACACTGGCTTTTTGGATTTAGGTTCGTCTCACGATGGCCCTGTTGCCTTTGGTTTCCCCAGAGCCCAGAGAGCGGTCTGGAAGAAAGCCATCGATCTCAGGAGGACCTGGCAATGACCGGGGAGTTGACCCTTATGGGCAAGGCGGGCGGCCGGCTCCAAAATGGGTATCGGGTCAAAATTAAACCACTAGGAGACCGCAGGTTTTAGTCCTTGGTTCCATTTGCCAGGGTTCCATTTTGGGTGCCTATTTTTGACCCACAGCCAAAGGATAGGCGGTTGGGGAAGGCTAAGATGCTCCCTTTTGTGAGCCTCGGGGATTAAGGGTTAGATTTTGGATGTTGGAGACTGGCGGAGCCGCGTGGGAACACGGGCATGTCGCTTTGTGGGTTGCAGGTGTGGCGAATTTGCGGGAAGAAGCTTCGAATCTTGTGGTGCTTTTTCAGTCACCAGAGATGTTTTTTTTTTGTTTTTTTGTTTTTTCCCTGCAGGTGCTGAAAGTGGGCGGCATCAAGGAGAAGGCGCGGGGGCGTTCGCGCCATGCGCAAAATGTGTGGCGGGAAGGCGGCAGGGGTGGGGTGGACCCTGAAGCATGGCTTGCAGACAGCTGCTTCCGACTGAAGCGTCAGATTTAAAGCATCTCAAGTGACAACCAATCCCTGCTGCAGACAGTTAAGCGTAAAAACACGCCAGGAGCAGGTGGCAACTAGTCCACAGCGGGAACAACTTTTTGTGCGGCGGCTTCTATTTCGCTGTAGGCTCTTCTGTACAAGGGGTGTTCAAACGGTCAGTGAATCACTCACGTCCTGAGTTCCTGGACCTTTTGGGAAGACAATTTTTAGTTGCAAATAAGAAGCTCAGGGCAAGTGTCCAACGCCAAATGGGCACGTCGTGTAAAAAGGGTGCCCTTTTTGGGGCTGGTCTAAAGGCAAGCCAAAGACCATGTTGGGGTTTTCTCAGTTTTGAGATACGTCCATATTATGGTTGTTTGTGAAGATGTGAACTCCTGTTGGATTGGTGTTTGGCAAAATTAAAAGGCAGCATACATATATATATATATACATGTATATGTTATATATATATGTATATGTACATATAAGCCCTTTCCAACTCCCGAGTTTAGGATGCTCCAATGTGTCGGGGACAAAACTGGGACCCTTTGACGGATTTCAAAAGAAAACCATATTGCAAACCATTTGGAGCGGATTCTGCTGTTGACAGCGGTGTCTTTGAGCTTGGCCAACACGCGTTTGTGTTTCACGTGTACTTGCCAGCGGCAAGATTCATGGTTGGTTTTTGCAAAAGCATCCAAGGCACAGTGTGGATTTGAACCCCTGGTTCTTTGTCGGGTAAAAAGGGAAATCGCCCAACTAATCCAAAGCACCAACGTTAATCTGACTTGAGAAGCCGACAATTCAGGGTCAATAACCTACAGCCAATCCCAAACCACCAAGAGGGAATGTTTAGTTCTTGAGGGTAAACTGGAAACCACCCAACCCCCCGACCAATCCAAGCCACCAATTAGGTGTTGGGCACCCTGGGGATTTAAAGTCATAGATATTTAAAGGGGGCTATGGGGAGGCTATTCCTTATTAGCCTGGCTTATCCTTGGCTTATCACGGGCTTATCCTGTACTTGATAGCCTCTCCCCCATAGTGCGCCCCCCCTACTTAAAGAGGCATTGCACTCAGTAAGTGGTTAGTAAACCTGGTAAAGAAAAAAAAAGAACACTTAGCATGGTTACAAGTCACTGCTAAGTGGGTTAGAACCAGGGTTCCTAACCACTTACTAAGCATAATCCCCCTTTAAGTCGGGGTTCATGATGAAGGACACCAATGGTCCTCCCCCCAAGACGGCAGGTCATTGCGGCGCGGCGAGAGGGCGTCAAGACCTTGATCCTGCCAAGGCAGAACGAGGCGTGGCTCGTGTGCGAGCCCGGCGCGAGTTTGCTCTCGTGCCCAAAGCGAATCGTCCTTTGGACCTGTTGGCTTTCCAAGGTGAGTCGCCACACTGTGGATGGTTGCGACATCCGTTCGCACCACGTTGAAACCGTGGTTGAAACCATTGTTGGTTGGTATTTACGTTGGGGAATCAGACCATCAGCCAGGGTTTCTTAGGTGGTGCGAAATGGACTTCGTCCACAGAATTGAGTCAAGGCCAAGAACCTTTAGTTTGCATGGTCCTTTTGAGGGGAGAACCTGTGCAGGTTCTAGTTCATTGGGGGTTCTTCCTTTCGAGATCACGTGGAAACAAGCCGCAGAAGTTCAGTAGAAACCCCTGGGTGCGACCAGGTGACCTAGCCACATGATGAGTGAATGCTAGATGGTTACTGGCAAGGTGGCCGGTATGGCATGCACATGTTTCAGGTAACTGCAAATGAGTCCAGAAGCCCTTTTCCTGAGATGGCGTCGTTTACCAGCAAAGTTCGGAACAGCCATCCAGGCAAACACTTTGTGACTCGCTTGGGCAATCAAGTCCTCCCATAGTTGCCAAGGGACCAGAAATGGAATCTACCCGCAGACTTGTGAGACAGCATGTGTGCATTAGGTACGTATGTATTGGGCAGAGGCTCCACCATGCGTTTGAGACTCTCTCTTTGAAAAGCATGTCGGAAGTGCGGCGGTAGCCTGGCGGTAGTAAGCGCCGTGGCGGCAGTGTGGCCGGAAGTGTGGTGGGAAGTATGGCGGCAGTGTGGCAGAAGTGGTACTCGTAGAGCCATTCTCCAACATGTATGTCCCTAATGTGATGTAGCTGTGTTTGTGTTGCGCAACACGCTGCGGCACCTCTGCCCAAAGCCGTTGTGTAGGCAAACCGGTCCCTGAAGTTTGCGAAAAGTGGCCTGGACTGAATGCCTGAACTAAAACCTCTACCCAAAGTTATCTCCGGATGGAGTCCATTTCTTGGGGTGTACTTAAGCCCAACTGGGGGTGGACGGGACACTTTTGGGGAGGCAGTGGGTGGGGAATCAGCCTGAGGTTTGAACCCTGGGAAACCTTCCCAAAGTAAGAGCACATTTCTTAGATCATGCGATGGTTAAAAGACCCCTTTACTGGGCGTTGCACCCCGAGTAGGAGGGGTCAACAAGATCAGTTGCCCTCAAGGGGTCCAGTCACTGCCCGGCTCGGCGCTTGCCCCGGGCCGTCAGGCGGACTTCCTGGAACTGAAGGAGTACCTTCGCCCGTGGCCCCCGGTCGGAGCGGCGGGAACCAGAGCCCCTGAAGGAATTGCGCGGACGGAGACGTCCAGAGGCGTTTGGGGGCAACCCCGGCCATGCGGGGGACAACTTAGCCTTTTAGATCCTTTTAGTGTTTAGTGGTAGTTTTTTTTGTGTTTTTTTACCCACTAATGGTGCCAACTGATTAGTAAACCGCCCCCCCCCTAAAGGTTGACAAGGTTTGGACAAGTCCCAAAAAGTGAGATTTTTGGGAGGACCCCCCTGATTACTCTGGAGCCCCTTCGGTCCTCGTCCTCTTACTTCTGGTCCCTTCGGGGCAGTAGGACTTTAAAAGGCAACAGCATATTTTTTGGGTTTTGAGCCCAAAAGGGCCCTGATTAATCGCGGGGGGTTTTCTGTTAATGAGGGGGGACTGGCCTCCAAGGGGGGTCCCCTTTGTGAGCTTGAAAACCTTGTCATTTTAAACAAAGTTTAATAAGGAAAAATGCATTTCGGGGGAAGCACATTTTTTGGGAGAACTTGAGGGGTTCAATAGTGACTTAGTATTGGTGGGTTTAAGCACAGACTCAGCAAATACTAAGCAAGAAGGAAAGCACCTTTCTGGCAGGTTTTGTTGGCTTGGGGGCTGCAGAGGGATACCTTTAATCAGGGGGGGGTTTGGGGAGGGCTCAAAAAATATTGGGTAGGGGTTTTTTGGGAAATCTTGTTGGCCCTTTACTTTAGTGTTGGTTGGAACCTGCTGGGGAGAAAGGGAAACCTTTAATCGGGGGGGGTTTACTAATCGTCTGCTGACATTAAAGGTTGGTCACTTTTAGCGGGGGATCTGAGGGCAGCCCAGGTTTGATTCTTGCCTTTTCCCGCGGAGAAAACACCAGGGGAGGTGCGTGTTTCGTATTCGATGGGGTGTCGGTTTGCGGTTCGGCGGCATCCGCACATGACTCTTTGAGCTCGTGTTTGGACTCCAGTGACCTGCTTGCATCACCAATGTGCGCCAGCCAAGCATTGCCATTTCATGAGCTGTCCTTCAGTTGACCATCGCCCATGACTGGATAAGGAATACCCTTGATTCTTTTAATATATATATATATGGTAAGGGATCCTGGTTTTCCATGAAGCAAGGATTCCCCTTGTTCGCAGGTTTCTTACTTGAAGGGGCGATCGGATACTTACTAAGTGGTTAGTAAGCCTGGTTAGAACCCCCTTGAAGGACTTGTAACCATTGGGTTATAACCACGCTTACTGGCCACTTAGTAAGTACCTGATCGCCCCTTCAAGTAACCATTGTACAGTTGGGTATGGGTCAAAATTAAACCATCAGGGGACTGCAGGTTTTGGTCCATGTTTCCACTTACCAGGGCAAGCCATTTTGGGCACCTATTTTTGACCCACAGCCAGTTGCTCCTGTTGAATCACCGCTCCTCGGAACGCTGATGGAATTCCCAAACTCGGCAGCTCCGGTTCACGAAAGCAACCTCCAAACGGCTCTCTGCAAAGGGTTTAAGCATGTGGTCTCCGAATGTGGGCCACCCCAAAATGCCTCCGTTTCGTGGTTGCCCTTTTTTTCGGCCCAAAGACAAAACATCCACAGAAAACCAAACAGGTAAGACACCTAAAGGTGAGGGAAAACAGGAAAGTAAAGACACCTCAAGGCCCAAACAGGCCCAAACACGGGCAAGACACCGCAGAAAAACCAAAGATTTGAGGCGCGGGCCTCACGGCGCACTTTGTGGACCACTATGATGCGCCTCGGCGCGAGAGTGTTGCCCCAAAAGAACGGAACTTATTTTTTTGTGGTGCCGGCTTTGCCTTTCTTTTTTTTCAAGCGCTGAGGGCCAGATAAGAAAGTATTCTTCTCTCTTGTTGGTTTTAACATGTAAAGGCAATCCATCACTACTGGACATATTCTAGACTCTTTTCAGGGGGCGTATATGCAAATGGAAGAGTGGGAATCTCCAAATTTGTGTCCCCGGATTCTGTCCACCATGCCTAGTTTGAATTCAGGGCCATATTGTGCGATTCACCATGGGCTGCGACACTCTATAGAGTTCTGAAATGCGCACGGGGCCATTTGAGAAATCAAAACCGGGTAGAAGGTTAAGGGAGAATGTGCACCCATACATGGGTGCAGGAATGCGCTTTTTCAATTCTTGAAGCATGGTTCTGGGTAGGGATTGATTGTGACTCATGCAGTCCGCGAAGTGGTCTCTACTGGAAGGTATGTCTCATGCGGAGGCCTCAACCTTGGTTTGATACGCCGCATGGCGAAAAATGAGTCTGTCATTTGTTTGGCCACGTTTTTTTTCTTTTTGTTTCTTCTTTTTTTCCGGGAGCAGCGGAATTAAATCGGAAGAGACGCCCACAAAAGCGACCTCAGGTTGGCTCATTTGAAAGGGAAACCAGCATGAGATCGAGCATCGAAATTGGTGGCATGCGAGATTTGTCATTTTGCCCTCAACAAACCCGTGGCGATTTGTTGGCCGCCCATTCTCTCAAGGATTCGGAACCAGCTTTAGGATGGTTTAGTGCGCATGTCAACAGCATCTCAGCTTTGATGTTTGCCGTGCGTTGCATTGGGGCCCAAACTCGGCATGTCCCCCAGTAGCCTTTTACCCTTTTTTGGGAGAGGGTTCCCCACTACAATAGACTACAGAAAAAAGGGTACCTTTATTCTAACCTCTCTGCTGGAGGACCTAGATATAATGTTTGGACCCGGTGAATTTGTGGCGCGTTGGTTCACGGAAACAGCCGGCTGACAAGAAGTTTGGGCGAATCCACTGGAGCGAGTGCTGCGCTCCAAAAACGCCTGCCTGAAACAGCCATGTTGCGTTGGTGCGCCACATGTGGCCATGGTGCAAAACCAAGGGTACCATTTTGGGTAGGTGCACCACCCATTTTAGTCTATTTTAGTGGGGATTGGGAAGTTCACCGGCGGTACGGGGTTTTGACCCATGGCCGCACGTTGGTTGAGATATGATGCAGGTTTGCAACAGGGCTCCCTCAATTTTCCTCTTCTACCTGTACAAGTGGCAGTGTTGCAGGGGAAATCAAGTGACTCCTGTATAAGGGAGCACAATGTGACCAGGATAATGTTGACCCCACACTCAGCAACCCCACATCAACAACCAGGGTGCATGAATATGGGGATTTGTGGTTCTCCAAAAGTGGGGGGATTCAATCCCCATGAAAAGCAGGGAGAAGTATTCGCCCCTACTTCCAGTTGCTTAAGAATATATTTATATTTTCCCTTGTTGGTTTTAAACATAATTTATCACTATATACTGGATGTGTTTTTGCTTTTTTTCAGGGGTCTTCACCAAATGGACGCCTAGGAATATAAATTTGGTTTCACTTCCTCCGGGGTCAACACGGAAGACCCCAAAAGTGTCGCGGCAGGACGTGTACCGCTTGGCCTTCGACGCGCAGCAGGTGGGCCACTGAGCGACAGCGGCGGCATCATTTTTTTGGTTTTTTTCAGAGGGGAAGGCTGCAAAAAAGGTGTTTTGCGTCGCTGAGTCATACTGATGGACGAAAAAAACCGAAATCCATTTCGCACCACCTGGATGTTGATGATTCCCCGTAAAATGCCAACAAAGAATAGTTTCAACCATGGTCTTTTCGTCGCTGGTTCATATGGCCATGGGTTGCACAACCTATGGCGATCCCATTTTGGGGTGGATGAACATCCATTTGCCACCGGTTTTGATGTTCACCAGGGGTACAGGGTTTTGACCCACAGCCATATGATACTGTGGACGGACGAAATCCATTTCGCACCACCTAAGAAACCCTGGCTGTTGATGAGTCCCCTGTAAATACCAACAAAGAATGGTTTCAAGCATGGTGTCTTGGGTGGTGCAGGATTTCGTCCATCCACAGTATGAGCCACATGCTCAAAACCCTGGTAGATGAAGGTGAGTCAGGGATCATTTGCACCCATAAATGGGCGCCGGAATCATGGTTCTGGGTAGACCATTTTAATACCAGGTTTTGGCTACGACTCATATGTGGGGGTTGGTCAGAAGGTCCATGATACATGGGATGACCGGTGGTTTTTGCATTCTGAAGATGGTGCCGCGCTACGTTGAAGCGTTCTCCATGCCGGCAAACAGAGAGTGACTCCCTGCAGGTGTACCTGGATGTTCGATTCGCCAAGTTGGCAAGTGGGGATCGGAACTTGGTTTTTTTTTAACCCCCTCAACCACACTCAGGGCGTCTCATAAGTGGGTTACAACCGAAAGGTTGCCAACGACTTATGAACTTGACCGAACATGCCGAGGTATCTGGTAGTTGTTGTTTTGCTTTGTAGCAGAAAACACCCAACGGTTCATTGCCCACTCCTGAACATGCAAGTATCTTGTTGTTTTTTCGCAGCAGAAAAAAAAAACCCAACGGTTCATTTCCCACTCCCGGACTGGGTCATTCCCTGCCTCAGCGTCTTCAAGGGGACGAAGGACAGCCTCAAGACCCGTCGACTTGAAGAAGATAGAGTTGGATACTTTGTTGGTCGAGGTAGCCAAACCCGGGTGAGCTCCAGCCTCATCTCTGCGGCCTTGCGCACCAGCAAGATAAAGGGACGTAGAAGTACCGCTCGAAGAAGCAGCCCCAAAAAAGGACGTCGGCGCCTGGCCGCACTGTCCCCAGGTGAGATGATGGAAAGTGGCTATGAAGTTTAAGAGTTGGCACCACCTCAAAAGTTGAGAGTTGGAACCACCTCAAAAGTGCATAGTTGGAGCCACCTCAAATTTGGAACCACCTCAAAAGTTGAGAGTTGGAACCACCTCAAAAGTTGGTGGCGGACGTTTCTATCCCCTAGTTAAAATCCGTGCCCAAGTATGTATCAACGGAACTAGGGCCAATTGGGCATCGTGATTAACCCAGCCGCCTGTTGAAACGGTTTGATAGGGAATGAGTTGACACCCCGAACTGAGGCATCCAACTGCTTTGCTTTCAGAGGGCGGTTTCCCAATACCCAAACCCTGATTTTTTACCCGTTGAACCAGCAATCGTGATTCCAGTTGCCGCAGGAAGCAAGGGAACTACCCTGTAAAAACTTTTGGAACCTAGATGGTGACCTATACAACTTCCATTTGCTTAAGAACAGGGTAGAATATGCACATCTCATAGAACTGCTATAATGCATAATTTGTAGATGTGCTACTATACAACTTCCTACTATACATATTCCTCCAGTTGGTTTTAAATGGGATGGGGACGTATCCGTGGACAAGTGAACCGGGATCTTCGATCTTCTCACTTCGATCTCGAAACTTTGGCGGGACTTGGACGAGGAGACACATCTAGGGGAACCGATCGCCATGTTCCCCAGGAAGACCCTCAGGGGTGGATTCCGTGTCCATTCTGTTCAACCATCGTTCTGTGCAAACTGCGGGCGCTTTCCCTGATTTTGCGGAGGTTTTCTAGAAAGATCCGGATCCCTGGAAAGGAATGGATATGGAAGCTTCCCCTATGCGTCAAAAGGATGGCGAAGCCCAAAGTGGCTTTGGCTTTTCTTTGGTTGAAACCAAGCTGAAAAGGGTACTCAGCCAGTTGACCTTCCAGAAGTTTCGATGTCGGGCAGGTGACAAAACGCCCAAAGATCGCCGCGGTTTTCCCTGCGGTTTAATTAGGGCACACTCAAAAACAACTTATGCACATCTCATAGAATCCAGCTGCGGGATCATTCCTTCCGCCGGCCAGTTCGAACCGGGAAATCAACTGCAAAAAACACGCTTGCCCCAGTGATTCATACGCCTGGTGAAGGCAAGTAGCTGAGGACTTGCCAGCCTTCAAAATCAAGGACTTGGCAGTCGGACAAACATCCTTGGCTTTTGATGGGTCTTGCAAGAGTCCACTTGCCGGTCGAACTCCCTTGGGTGTTTGGTGTTTTTTTTCTAGCATCCGAAAAAGAGAGAGCCCAAAACCTGTAATTTTGGCAAAAACAAAGTGGCCGTCCGTTGTCTGAAAAAATCGGCCTGTGGCAAAGAACACCGCGCAGGTGCCGGCGCTGGCGAGCCCTTCCAGAGGCTTGCCGGTCGTCACCGCCTAGGGCCCAGTTAAATTCGCCGAGATGGTCGGCGTTCCGAGCAACAAGTCGAAGGGTGCCAGATAGCCAAGTTGCTGTTTTTTTCAGTCACTGTTGCTGGTTTTTGGAGTAAAGTGCATGGAACAAAACAGCAACTGGCGATCGGTACCTTCCATTTCCATTCTTTCCAGGGATCCTTCTTTGAACACCTTCGGAAACTGGAATGGGTTTTTGATAAGAAGCGATGGTTGAAAAAGAATGGTTGGAATCAACCCTATAGAAGAAGTGGGTAGGTGTTCGAAGGATTCGGAAGCCAGTGCATTTCCTTTGGGCTTCAAAATAGGAACCGCCCCAAGGGGACCGGACAAGAAGGGACCGGCCCACACAATTCTTTGTTCGGGCGGGGTCAGAGGGCCTTTGGGCTAAACCCCGAGGCGTCGTTGCCACGAATCTTTGACTTAGAGCCCCTCCCTGCCTAGCGAGGTGGAGCCACCTCCGGCCGGAGCCACAGAGTCGAGTCCAGGGAATGGAAGACCAGGTGCCCTTCTCTCCCGTTTCTTTTTTGGGGGAGGGTTCCCGACTAAAATAGACAGAAAGCAATTGGTACCAACTTCTTCTAACCTCTCAAATCTGGAGGACCTAGTCTAAATGTTGCAGCCCAAGGCGAGCTTTTTGTCGGCTCGCCAAGTTTGTTTGCATCTTCAAACTCCCACGTCCCGTCGAAGCGGCGAAGGTGTCGTTTGACGTGGCCAAGTTGAGAGCCTTTGGAACTTGCAGGCAGCTCCCCTCCCCGACCCTCAAGGGACCCGATCGATCCACCGGTGTTTTTTTCTGGATCGATCCTGGCGGGTGAAGAAAGCCGAAGTCAAAGCTCCCTGCCTTTGAAAAGGCCAAATACAAAGGTGTCCGATTTAGTTGTGTGTGTGTGCGTGCGTGTTTTATGGCGTTTGGGGGCACGGAACATCGTGTTTTAAGGTGGTGTCCAAAGATTCACAGCAAACCAAGCATTGTGGTTCAATCCTTGTCCATGTACGGGTGTGTCCTTTCTTCTTCTTCTTTTTGGGAGGGGAACCCATGAAACCGCTTATTTTGCGCTCCCTCCCCAATTGACGCATCCATCAAGTGCTCAGGATCCACAGCCGGCTCCGGAAGAAGGCGACGCAGGCGGAAGATTGCGATGTGGTTTCCACCCCAAAATTGATTTTATCGCACCACAAGATTGAGATTGCACCCCAGATTTGGTTTGCACCACAAGATTGCGATTTGATTTTTTTTGTTGATCACAGGTGGCATCATCTTGGTTGGTTTAGTGGTTGGGTTTCCGAACTTAACCCTCTGAAAGTTAGTCACTTGTAGCAGGTCTGAGCCCAGGAGAATTTTAAGTAGCAGTCTACCTCAACAATCATGACTCGATTTGGTTTTAAAGCACCCCAGGCACCTATTCTAATGCTTCAGGCCCCAGTAGGTCCCTGGCTTCATGGGGTTGGCAAGGCCCACACAAGCTTCCGTACCATGGCAAGGCGGTTTTTGGGCCCTCGCTCACTCACTTGGGTTTGCCCAAGACTGCCCAAGTTTGCGCGCGGTTGCGTTCATCCGGCTCCCTCCCACGAAGTCTTTCGGATTTCTGGTTGGCGCTTGGCCCTCGCGTTTTCTGAAGCAAGCCCTCGCGTTCGTTGGGAGGGTTTGACTCGGACGCAGCGAAAAGACCCATGAGATCCTGGGCTTTCAACTGTTGGGGCTTGGACCTTTTTAGTGGTAAACAAGCAGTTTGGTTTCTTCGTTTGGGCCCATCCATTCAGGAAGTCAGAAACAGATGCCCAAATTTTTGCGATGGTGAGGCGCTTCCCGGTGAGGAAATTTAGTGCTCACTCTCTGATTTGTGTACCTGGTGAAAAAGGTAAGCCATTGGCCATTGCTTTCGACCTCACTCCCTGAGTTCATGGATTTGGGCTTTCCGGTTGCATCCACTCGAGCGCCAGCACAACAAAATCTTGCTCCATGTGGCTGTGGTGGTCAAAACCGTTAAACGGGATTCCATTTTGGGTAGGTGAATTCACCACCCATTTTAGAACCTATTTTAGTGGTTGGATTGGGTCCCGTTCACTGGCTAACCGATTTGGATTTTGACCCACCATGTGAGGCTCCAACGCCCTCCCCTGGACTGGAGGCGTCGGCTGGGGAGATATTTTTTTCTCACTCAGAACCCGGGCAGCAAAGAAGGATTGCCTTTTCAAGTTTGTCCAAATACCAGGGCAGTGTACCAGGTGAAGGATTCGCCATGTGAAAGGTGAGTCGCAAACCCCCCGTATCACACCCCTTGTGGGGGGGGGGTTTCGCCCGAATGAGCTCCCGACTGGAGTGGCTGGGCATGCGAAGAGTTCAGCTTGATTCCTGGTTTTGATGGGGCCCAAAGGGCGGGGAGGTGGGGGGGGAAGGGAGCCCGAATTAGCTCCTAAGGCCGTTTGGCTCCCTCTCCCCAGGAGCTTTGAAGTTGCGCTGCTAGGTAAATATCATCGGGGCCATCGAGAAAAAACGGCCTTCGGAAGCTTGTTGTCTTGCAGAGAGGAATCGCTGACATGGAAATATGGGTGTGTCATCTTCTTCTTTTTTTTCGGGGGGGGATCCCTGTTTTGCTTGGTTTTAGAAAGGGCGCCACGAGGATTTTGGGGGTCCAAACACAAGAAGACATACCCAGAAACACACCTCCCTGCGCCGAAACCCAAGCTCAAATGCTTTGGCTGGATGTTCACGAGCAAATGAGCAGGTGTTGCCACAACGAGGAACCGGGGCAAATAGGGGGTTTTCATGCACCAGCCAGTTGGAGTTTCTTTGCAATACTTGCAGCTTCCAGCTGAACGGCAACCATGCTAACATGAGGGACTAAATATGTCCTAATGGTACACTCCTAGTGTGGATGGATAAAGTCCTGCACAACCTAAGAAACCCTGGAATCGTATGATTCCCCCGTATCCAACAAAGAATGGTTTCAACCATGGTCTCTTAGGTGGTACGAAATGGACTTCGTCCGTCCGGAGTAGTACAATAGGCATGACTATTCTCATTATGATTTTTAAGGTGGGGCCTTGTAGCTTTTCAGGGGTTCCTTATCAACACCCCCCTTCAGACCCCCCCTTTGAGTGATTCCAGTGGCTGAGCACCAGATTCCAGCTTGGTGCATGCATCTGGAAACAGTTTGCCTCAATAAGCCTCGATTAGCCTCAATAAGCTGGAGATTGATTTGGCTTTGACTTCCTGAACATCATTGAGGCCGAAAAAGGTGCCTAGAATTGCTTGGACCTCATGACACTTCGGTGTAGAATTGTGCCGCTAGGCCAAACATCTCTCAGCGACACACACACACACACACACCTGAAACATTGGCAGCTGTTGGAGTTCGCCAAACCGACACTCGCTAGAAGGCACAACTCTAGGGGTACCTTCCCCATTCTTTCCGGGGATCCTTCTGTCTACAAAGTCTCCGGAACCCGCGGGAAAACGGCCGGTTTTTGGAAAGAACGATGGTTGAAAAGAATGGTTGGAGTCAACCCTAGAGCAACTGTTTCGTTGCTTCTGTCTGCGACGGGAATCAGATTCGGTGATTCAGTGGACCTTCAGGACAGGGGGAACCCGTTGATCGAACGTAGCACGAGAACCCTGCCAGGCGTGAATGGGAGATGTGTCCAAACATGTGTGTGTGTGTGTGTGTCTTTGTTTGTGTGTCGAGATTAAGGACCTTGACTTCCTTTTAGTGACAGGCAAACGAGAGGTTTCATGTACCAGACAAGCTAGTTCGTGTTATTTCCGTCGGGGCCGCCCAGTAACACGTCTTCTTCCTTCCGCTTGATCAGCACCGGTGTGCAGTCCAAGAGTCTGAAATCCGGTAGAGAGGATCCCATTGTGACAAGCATCGTCTCAGCGTCCTGTTTAGAGGAGCTCCGACCCTGATCGTATCCAAGAACCGTGCAAAGTTCGGCCATGCCGCGTATCATGCACTGACGCTTGACTCAGCCACATTTTGCCCTCACTACAACTTTCCGATGATTTTGGTACTCTGCTAGCCTACTGTGGATGGACACAATCCTGTTCGCACCACCGAAGAAACCCTGGTATCCCATATGAAAACTGAGTGAGAGCGAGCGACCTCGAGAGAGGCCTGCGGGAGCAGCCCAGCATGCCGAGCCTCTGAGGGAAGCTCATGTGGAAATGCCCAGTGCCCAGCCCAAAAGAAGGGCACTCTGCAATGCACCCCCAAGGAATGGGAAATCCCAGAAGGCACGCTATGTGAGAGTTGGTGAAACTGGGCAATCCATGGTTGCAGTATCCCTTTCCTCTTTTTGTTGTTCCTTCTCTTTTTTCTCATTTTTTTTCCCGTGTGTGTGTGTGTGTGTTAAGAAGGAACCAGGACGAAAACAACAAACTCATTCGGAGTCAGTTGTGCAGGCTCCCAGTTTCGACACCTCCAGTATCCTTCTTGTACTGCTAGATCCAAGAGTCCAAGCCGCTTTAAGCAAGGTGAGGCAACGAATGAAAGATTGGCTTAATATCTTTTTCAGTTACGGCATTGGCTTAATATATTTTTCATGTCGGCCGAGCGTTTGACCATCCGAAGTTCTGTTGAATCCCAAATCTGAAGCTGCGACTTCGGAACGCGTAGGGCTCCCAGAAGCCAACGCAAGTCGTGCTTTTTTTTCTTTTTTTTTGGAACATATTCTTATGGGGAACACCACAAAAAACCCTCAAAGAAATGAATTGAGGGAGAGGGTCCACAAAGAATCAAAGTGTTGTTGATTCATTCTTTCGGACATGTCGCCAATTCATTTCTTATGCTACCCCTCCGAGAGTGACAAGCCCCCCATCAATACATTTGGGAGCTTCATTTGGAACACAGGAACATCAATTGTTCTGCCTATTTTATAGCGAGCTCATTTGGGGGTACAAACGAGCTCACCATGATAAAGGTCCTTTACTTGGGGACTTATTTTTCAGGTTTTGGGATTATAGTAACAAGTGCAGATGTTTTGAGAGGTGGCAGCTTTTTCTAGTCGTGCTTGATTCTTCTTGCTTGTTGGCCCGACCGCTCCTCATATTAACTAACAAGCGAAGACAGGGTCACCAAGCAATATGTCTAAAATTGTAAAGCAAATGGTTTCTGAGTATACAATAAAATTGTATTGACATTTTAGATGAATATGATTGTGGTATATGTTCTTTCCAGCACCCACTAGATCAAACGGCCGATCCCCGTGCCCTTTGCGAGTGTCCGGGCGGTGCAGCCATCGGCCCGCGTCCGGCGATCGGTCGTGCCGCGTTGGAAGTGACAAGTCTGAGAGCCAGCGAACGATGTTTCAGACCTCCGAGCCATGAATCTGGGTGTGTCTTGTTTTGAGGGTCTACCCTTGTTGAGCTCATTTAAGGAGAACCAAAGGGAAGCCCACATGGGTGTGGGTCAAAATTAAACCACCAGGGAACCGCAGATTTTCGTCCATGTTTCCACTTACCAGGGCAAGCCATTTTGGGTACCTATTTTTGACCCACGGCCACATATTTTGGGGGGCGTTCCCTGTTGTAAGACACCCCCACAGAAGCGAAAGTTGCAACTGGGAATGAGCAACTGGAGGAGTGCGGGCAATTTGAATCCGCGTGCCTGAGGATTTTGACCGAACCGCTTGTTGGGTGTGTCCTTTTTACGGGACCCCCCTAAAAGGGGTGGTTTTCCTTTCAAGGTGTCCCTTTAAAGCCACCAAAGGGGCACCATAAACAAACAGCGCGCACCCTCTTGACTCTTTGTTCTACAGTTGTTCTCTTTGTCAGATGTTTTGCTTGGCCTGTTCTCCATGACGCTTCTTTTGTCAACATAAGTTTACATACCGTGCCTGTCATAAGTCTACAGTACTCATATGCATGGTGCACGAAGGACGCTCATGAATACATCTGACTAAGTGTTTTTTCTAGGTAAGGATCCAAATCGGGGAAATTGTTTGTTTGCAGTCAATAGCAACAAACAGCCGCGAAGAGATTGCCCACGTGGAGATCCCTAAGACTTCGCTATATAGGTCGCTTGGGGTCGCTGCAGGGGAACACGCATAATAATTATATTGTCCCCAGTCCGCGTTTCCGAGTCTCGCGAATCGAGAGAAATCGCCGCTCTTTTTTCATGGCAAACCACAGGGCAAGTGTCCTGACCAAAAAGAACAGAAGCAAACACAGAACAAATGATTTCCTTCATACCCATTCTTGGAACCTCTACAAGTGGCATGTTTCACGGAAATCACCAATAAATTGCAACTTTTGAAGGGGACATCCAGAGACTCCTGCAAAACAAGCGCTCTCACCGGATCTCTTCCAAGGCGATTTTCGGCTTTCGGCATCTTCCACGGCAAAACCTCGCTCGAAGCCCTTGCCCCGAATGATGGGCAAGTGGCCACAAGCTTCGGGACGGCCACTGGCTGGAGTGTTTGATGTTCAAACAACACGGAGGCTAGGCTTTGAGTTGGTTTAGCGGTTGGGTGTCCATTGAACCCACAATTTAACCATTTTTAGCAGGGGGTCAGAAGACGAACTGCCCAGGGTATGGTTTGGACGGGTTTGCAAACGAATATGAGTGTTTAGTATTCAAACAACACGAGTAGAGGGCTTCGCAGGATTCTTGCAGCTCTGGGTATCGTTTGGACAGTTCAGAGAAAAATCTGAGGGTTTCACCAAACAAATATGAACTTGTCCAAACTATGCTTTGGGCTGTCCTCAGATTCTTGCAGCTGTTGGTATGGTTTGGACAAGCTCACAAAGAGATTTGTGGGTATTTGGATTCTTGCAGCTCTGGGTATCGTTCGGACAGTTCAGAGAATCTGAGGGTTTCAACCCGGATGCTGTCCTCAGATCCTTGCAGCTCTGGGTATCGTTCGGATAAGTTCCCAAAACAACTCTGAGCGTTTCAACCCGCAGGCGTTGGGTTTTCAAGGACCGCCAAGAGAGCGGCGGCCAGGCGGCCAGGTCTCTGAATAAGTCTTTCCAGCTGCACAAGATGCACGGAAAATGCGTGCCGGGCTGACAGGTGTTCTTCCATTTAGCCGGAGTTTGTCGTTTTGCTTTAAAAAATATATGTCCCTTGTTGGTTTTAGAGGGAATGGATTTCACTACTGGAAGTATTTTCTCATTTTTTCCTGAAGGCATATCCACAAATGGGAGTTTTTGAGGGCCATGGGACCGTTTGGAAGGGTTGAGACTCTCCGGTTGACACCAGATGATCGCTGTCCAGGACCTGCGTGACAAAGCAAGGCAATGATGTGCGACCTGGGTACAGTGCCTATGTTAGGTACTAAAAGGGACAGGACTTGCGGAAAAGCGATTTCGGTTCAGAATATCGCTTGTTCACCTCCCAAGCTTGGAAACATAGTGCCAGCCAACAGGGTCATGATCAGAAGCCAGCCCAGGAGCAAAACACATACCAACACACTGCGCAAGCTGTGATTTTTTTGTTCATGCGGGTATGGCTCAAAAAAACCGGAATTCCAAAACGGCTTGCCCTGGTAAGTGGAAACCAAAACCTGCGGTTTGCCCTAGCTCTTAAATTTTGAGCCACAGCCATTTGGGAGTAAGACAGCCTAATCCTCCAGCTTTTCGTTGGAGGGGTGTCCACAAGCCAACGACCGGTGTTTTTCCATTGCCACTGGGGTTTGGGCTTGGGTGTTTCAATGCTAATATAATCTTCCATTTGCTTAATAATATAATAATAATAATAATAATAATAATAATAATAATAATAATAATAATAATAATAATAATAATAATAATAATAATTAATAATAATAGTAATAATAATAATAATAATAATAATAATAATAATAATAATAATAATAATAATAATAATAATAATAATAATAATAATAATAATAATATATATATATATATATAGATACACCTTTTTTTTGTTCTTCCCCTGGTTGGTTTTCAAAGGAATTTATCACCACTGGACATATTTTCTCTTTTCTTTCCAGAGGTCTGAACCAAATGGAAGTATTTGTCAAGCTCCTTTCGGATGTTTGCCGAGGCCACAGTGCAACATTTAGGTTCGAACACGGAAGTGCACTGCGCCAAAACCTGGAATATGTTTGTGGGATGGTTCTGCTACCTGGTTTCATTGGGTTATACTTGAGGTCTATGTTTAAACCTTTATAACCATGTTAGCAAAAACACAAGTTGCCTTAGTTGGCTACCAAGTCTGCGTAGGTTCTTGCTTCCCCCCACCCTACCCACGGAGGTCAATTCACAGGTGGCATCTTAATTGGAAGGTGGGAAGTCTGAACCCCTCTAATTACAAAGCTCATTGTTTAATTTTAATGGATTCTGTGATACACATTTACATCTGGCTTTTCCTGCTTTTCTATTCCTGGGGCCCGGTACCCTTTTTGGATGGTGTCAAACGGAGCCACAAGGAAACTATCTATTGTTGGGGGGAATCCCAATTCCTTCAAGACAAACCCAGATGTCCAAGTCTCTGCGTGTGTTTCCGGTGGTGGGGAAGCCCAACTGAATATTATTTAGGGCTTATTTGGGCTCCCTCCCCCCTCTCTTAGCTGTGACAAAATGGAACTCCGGGGCTTCTGGGTTTCCCTTCAAGAACCACTCAGGTTCCCTCTCCCTCCCAGCTGTGAAAAAATGGATTTATTTGGTTTCCCTGCAACACCACTTCCCCCCTCTCCCTCTCACTCTCTGTCAAAAAAATGGATCTCCGGTCCTTTTTGGTTTCCCTTCGGTCGAACCACGCGGTCGACCCAAAGAACGGATCCGCTCCGATGCCCGGAACCCCCCGGAGTCTCGCTTCTGGCAGGCTGCCGCGCCCGCCAGGCGCGCGATCCCTTGGGGAAACGGCCACAGAGTTACTCGGGTGTCGTCGCTCGGGTTTCCTTGGCCACTTTGAGTGGTAAATCACCAGTTTTCTAGGGCCACCGGATCCATTTCCATTCTTTCCAGGGATCCGAATTTCGTTTCAGGAAACCATGAAAACCCAGGGGAAACAGCCGGTTTCTGAAAAGAACAATGGTTGAAAAGAATGGTTGGAATCAACCCCTAGAAGTTTGGTGGCTTTTTCCGGCCCATCCACTCGCTCGAAAGTGAGGAAAAAGGGGAACCAAGAAGGATGATGAAAGAATAGGATCATGAAACTGATTCGCATAGTCCTTTTGATTGGTTTGGTGAATAGATGGAAGAAGGGTACCCATTCTTCTTTTTCGTCTATTTTAGTATGGGCCAAAAAAGGGGAGAAAAGGGCACCTAGCTGGGGCACCTAGAACCACTTGTCTGACCTACCAAGTTCTTCGCCGAGCCCGGATCAGACCTGAAACACAAGCCAAGTGACGTGCTCCTCACTTCGCGAGTGGATGGGCCAAAGAATGTTCACCCAACTTTTTGTTTACCACAAGGGTCCAAACCCCAAGAAAGCGGCTCCAGTCCATCTCAAGTGCGGCTGGCTGTGTTCATTCGGGTACTTGGATGCTAGATTCGCCAAGTGGGGACCAGTGGGGATCGCCGTTTTTTTTTTGGCCCCCCTTACAACAAGGGCTGGGCAAGTGGAGCCTGCACGTTGGTTTAAAAGGAAACCCTAGCGTTGCGGGGGTCCCGCATGTTTTGTTTGGTTTCTTCAAGTCGAACAAACCCAGCTTGGATTTTGAATGCAATCTCTGTCATGCCTCCCAAAACGGAGGGCACCGGTGAAGCTCCCAGAGCATAGGATGCAGCTGAGACAGCATTGGAGCTGGCACGGCAGCCCATGAGTACTTGGATGTTCGACTTGCCAAGTTAGTAAGTGGGGATCGCTACTTGGGGAATTCTTATCAGCTTATAACAAGGTTCACCCGAACGGGGGACTCAAGATAGGTTATAACAAGTTATAACCTAAGTCACCAACAACTTACAAACTTGGCGAATCGAACACCCAAGTAATGTCAACCTCGGACTCATCCGTTTGACTGTACGATCTTCGGGACTGGCTCTCTAAGGAAATTAGATATATATATATATATATCTTGCAAGATATGGTTTCTCTAATTTCCCATTGGTTTCCTTTTGAACCAACCCCCAAAAAGGGTACCATCAAGAAAGACACACCCACTAGCCGACTGGGTGTTCCAGAAATTGGAGGACGTCTTCCCTTTTGAGAAGATAGTTCACCGACTTTAAAAATCAACACCAAAAAAGTCAACCTTGGATGAGGTAAACTTCATTTCGCTAATCTGGACTGTTCAAGATTGAGTGTTGGTATGTTGCGTAACCCAAGGTACCCACCCCAGCCCCAAAGTGACCTTGTGGATGGGTTTGTCTGATAAGCCTGGTTGTTATAACCCACACAAGCCATGGTTCTAGGTCTCTCAAGTGGGTTATAACTAGGCTCACCAACCGCTTACTAAGTACCCTGCCTGCCCCTTGAAGTATGTGCCGAGGATTTGTATTTACTATACTATAGTTAGTTCAGTCAAAACCCATGGCAACTCAGTATGCCTGGGGTTGCAAATAACACCAGCGCAATGGGCGGAAATTTGGGTGAGTCCTCGACATTTCAGGGGCCGTTCAATTCAGCCCACCGTCGGCGGGTATTTGAGTAGCGTGCCCTTTGTTTGGATGTGGTGCGCCCCACTTTGCGACGCGGCCTTGGCTCAGTGGGGCGGGGTCACACGTGCCGTGTGACGGTGAGGCGGGAGATGGGTTGGCGTGTATAATCCCGGGTTGTCCTTTTTGTTTCCATTTAAAAAAAACCGGATGGAAAGGGTACCCTTAACAAACGCGCCGCTTTCCATCAAAAGGCTTGGACCTGCGGTTGATAGAATATCAAATCTTTGAGGCAGCTGATATGTATTGTTTGGAGGTGCTAGATTTGAAGCACCCATCCGTTCAGGACTTATTCATCATGTGTTTATGTCGATTGACTGCGATAACTCTGCCAATTTCTGACCATGATACTTGTGATAGAATTGGCTCAGATAAGATATGGCCATGGTTCAAAACCAATGGTACCATTTTGGGATAGGTGAATTCACCATCCATTTTAGAACCTATAGTGGTTGAGTTGAATCGGATGTTCACTGGGGGCTAACCGATTTGGGTTTTGACCCATGGCCATATACGCCCATCTTTTTTTGAGCGTACCCTTCTAGGGGTTCAAATGGAAGCCAAAAGGAGCCATTGCCATGTTGAGGGGTCCCCCATTTTGAGACAACGCCGATCCGGGTGTGTGTCTTTTTCGGGGGGTATTCATGTGTTGTGGTATTTGCTTAAGACGGAAATGTTTGATTTTCACCTGTTGGTTTTAAAGTAGTTTATCACTGGACATATTTTGTCTCATTTTTTCTAGGGGTCTTATCCAAATGGAAGGAAATCGTTTCCGGTTTCGGGCGGCTGCTGACCTAAACTCTGAAGCTCTCGGTTTCTTTCGCGACCGGCGAATGGTCCATGGCACGAGGTGGACATGCTGCATGCAGTACGGTGTGTCCTTTTTTGAGACTACTGTTTTTGGTTTGTGCGCGAAATGGAAAGCCAACAGTCGATCAAAACACTTTCTTTTTCTGGGGGGAGGGGGTCCGTTGAAAAAGGCACACCCATATAGATAGCTCGCAATGCGAAACTTGTTGTGAGATAGAGCATCCTTTAAGCGTTTGACATGTGCTGTTGGGTTGGCATACCTCTGCAGGGTTGTCGCTTGAAAGCAAAGCTGCCAATGGCGGTGGGGAAAATCGGGGGCTGTCAGCTCCAAACATTATGCAGTAGGTGTTTCCTACAATGTAGATCAATTGAGGACAAAAAGCAAAAGTATTTGGTTTGCCTTGTGCTCCCCAACCACCAAAGAGTGGGGAGTTTGTTTAAATTCAATTGGAGCGTTTTTATCGTGCTGCGTGCTCCAATTGTGCCACATCGCTGGTACTCAAACTCACTCCCAGACGTGCAAACTGGAAGTGCGCAAGACCTTCTGCCTGCTGCCAATTCATCGCCATAGTCACCACAGGGCCAAGCTATGATTCCGATGCAACCTAAATGGCTCATGCCAGGTACTTACATCCCCAACCTGTTGAATCTCATACGTTTGGAAAGACCATGCTGGTAGGGGGACGAGAAGCTCGACTGTCTTGGATCCACATGTACCAGTGCCTTCCTGCAATTCAGACAAGTTTCCCAACATGGTGCCCCACCCTGCACAGGTAAAGGAGGAAAGTGTGGAAAATATGGCTTCCCGTTCGGGCGTCATAAAAAGAAACAGTTCATCCGAAGCCCTGGCAACGCAGGAGTTCGCACAACTTTGAATCAATGGGAAACAGTTGTTTGTTGGTATGTGGTGCCTAAGAGGATTTCGGCCATCCTACAGTATGGCATTCACAATAAAGAAGCGCTCGTCGCGGGTGTGGCACCTTTCCCCTAGTCAGGCCACGAACGATTCTCCCCTTGTTCGAGGGGCAGAGTTGGTCTTGTTCGCGAGAAGCCTAAGAGCAAATTGGGGGACAGCGCTGGGCCTCAAAGAAGAAGTACTGCGTAGTACTGAGTTTGGAACTGCATTATGATTTCTGAAAATTTAGTATTAGTTGAGTATTCCTTTACACTGGTTCAGTGGTATTTAGATTTGGTTTAGTACTTGTGTCGTATTCCTCTGTGCTGGCCCAGAGATTGATTTTCTCCACTTCCTCCCGTATTTTAACATTCAAGATTTTAAAACTTTCCGTGGCTTCCCTGTACACCCTCTTGAAAATATGCCTGGGCGGCTGTTTTAGTCAAGGGTATCATAAGGAAATTGGCTGTTTTGGGCCTCAGTTGGTTGTGCTGGCTCAGGATTGGCTTAGTGTTTTAGCACTAGTTAGTATTCGTTTTGTATGGAGTATTGGTGTATTTTTTTGGTGTTTAGCATAGTTCGTCCATCCACAGTAGGATGAATCTCTCTGTTCCTCCAGATTGGCACGCGCTTGGACCTTGGAGACGCACGCGTGCGCTACGCGCTACGCATGGCAGGTGACTACAAATGTCATCCGCAAGTTTGAGTAACTCACCATCGACCTCCTCTGGGCGAGCAGAGGACTGGCTAAATTGCCGGGTCCGGTTGAGTCACGAGCAAAACCCGGGTGGTTGGAGAGTAATTAGTGAGGGGCAAGCCCAGCCATAAATGGTTGCGGGAATCCGCCTTCTTAGTTCTTGAAGCATGGTTCTGGGTAGACCATGTTAATGCCGGCTTTGGATTATGACTTAGTTGAGGTTGGGCCTTTTTTGACCTGGTCCATTTTGCCAAGCGGATGGACATGTTTCTTGACATGTGCGGTTTGCCCAAGGCTTTGCCCCGCGGAAGCTTTGCGGAAGGTTTATGTCAATGTGTTAAACAACATAGCGTTGAGCCCAGATGTTTCAGCCATCCTTCTTTTCAAAAACCAGCGGTTTCCCAAGGTTTTTGGTGGTTTGCTAGAAAGATCCGGGTCCCTGGAAATGGAAATGGAAGTTACCCCTGCTATGTATTTGCGAGAGTTGTCCTCACACGAGCCAAGCTGAGGGAAGAGGTTCCATGCTACAGGGGGAAAAAACAAAAAACATGGCGGCGGTTTTGTGTGGATTTCTTTGCGTCCTTTCAAGAGCCGCAAGAAAGGGGTGCCCGTAAAAATGGATGACCCTTTTGTCATGGTAATCACTTTGACCAGCTCCAAAACCAGCCTAGTGGTTGGCAATCTTTGCCGGAAGCAAGGGGAGCAGCAGTTAAGCCTTGGCAAGACCTAGGCCAACAGCAGCGGAAGCAAATGTAGCGAAGAGCATGTCCGCAAAGCACGCGGAAGCAGTTTTTAACAAAGCCATTCCAGCGGAAGCAACGGTTCAGGCTTGGAAGGGTTGAAAAATGTCAATATGAAAATACAAAACAAAGCTCAGTTGAAACTGAGAGAGAGAGAGAGAGAGAGCGAGAGAGAGAGAGAGCGAAAGAGAGAGAGAGAGAGAGAGCAAGAGAGAGAGAGAGAGAGAGAGAGAGAGAGAGAGAGAGAGAGAGAGAGAGAGCAAGAGAGAACGAGAAAGGGACAGGGAGAGGGAGGGAGACAGAAAGCGCCCATTGCATCCATCAGCTCCGCACGCCATTTTGGGCGTTGACGTCGATAAATCCACGCGCTCACCCTGGCACCCCTCCTTGAGTATTTCATGAAGAGTCACTTGGATGTTCGGCCAAGATAGTAAGTGGCTAGGTGCAATTAGCCTGGTGGTAAATATGGGTGTGGGTCAAAATTAAACCACCAGGAATTGGACCGCACGTTTTGGTCCATGTTGCCACTTACCAGGGCAAGCCATTTTGGGGTTACCCTATTTTTGACAACCACAGCCATATGTTATAACCGAGGATGCCAGCCACTAACTCGAATCAAAGACCCAAGTGTGCCACAATCAAAACCTGGGTAGATCAAGGTTAGTAAGGGGCAGTCCCAGCCGAAAAATAGTTGCGGCCGCCTTTCTACTTCTTTACATGGTTCTGGGTTCACCATTTTTGTACCAGGTTTTGATTGTGACTCAGTAGAGTGCAGAGTCCGTGCCGTAGAGCCACTAGTTGCCTTGGAGAGGGGAACTGAAAGATGGATGCCTGTCGCACCAAAAAGGCCTAAAAATCGACGAACCACCAAAAAACGCAATATGGGTGTGGGTCAAAATGAAACCACCAGGAATTGGACCGCAGGTTTTTGTCCATGTTTCCATTTACCGATCGGGCAACCCGTTTTGAGATTACCTTTTTTTTAAACAACCACTGCCATATTGTCCTGCGGCGTGTAGCCTCGTTCCAGTGGAAGTAGACAGGGAGGTTTCCAAAAGGGAAGTAGTTGCAAAAAAACTTCCGCGCAGCTTCCCATGATTGAGAGCGTATTTGCATGCCTCACTAGGTCCCCCAGTAGTGCCCTTTTACCCTTTTTTTGGGAGGGTTGAGGGTTCCCCTACTAAAATGCAGAAAAGAGTTGGTGCCCTTATTCTATCCTCTCTACTGGAGGACCTAGTTTTGGTCCAGTCACCTTCCTGTAAGGGAGTTGATCTCAAGACTTGCCAGGAGACCGAGTTCGTTGTGGAAGAGGTGGAGGTTCACGTTGAAGAGGACAGCAGTTTTGAGGATAAGGTGGCTGCAGCTATGAGAAGGTGACTCTTAGGGCCTTTGAATGCTAATATGTTTTCTCCGCATTTTTTTCCGCACTTTGATCACTATATGGAATCTTGTCATCTTGCGCATTCTTGCCGGCACTCTCGAGGCCCCATCGACCCTCGCTCGAAGCGAAAGCGCCTGAGGATGAGGCGGACGATGCCGGAAAGTCCGTAGAGGAGGACAGGGCCCAAGCGGCGCGCCGTTTTGGTCGGCAGAAACCATGGTGCCGCTGGCTTGCTGAAAATGCAGATGGGTGCAAGATGTCACAAGCATGCCTTCGGTGCACCATCCCACGAGCTGAAAGACACCGTTGCACTTGCTGTTTTTTGAGGTACTGGTATCATCATGTTCGGTCTGGGTGTGTTTTTGCAATTCTGTAAAGGACCTCCATTCCCAACCCCGAAAAGGGTACCCTCAACAAGAAAAGACATACCATTTGTGTCCTCACCCCATTTAATAAAACCCGCAATTCTAAGTTCGTGAGAGCCCTTGCAAGAAGCCCACACGACGGCTCCGCCTTTCGCTTCTTGGGGGCTGGCGCCCTTCGATATCCTCTGTTCAAAGCGAATCGCCCGGATCTGACCTTTTGGTTTCCCCTGTTTGGGTTCCCATTTGGGTGTGGCTCAAATTTAAACAGCAGGGGCAAACCGCAGGTCTTGGTCCATGTTTCCACTTACCGATCGGGCTTGCGCCATTTTGGAATTCCGGTTTTTTGAATTCGCCACAGCCATTTGTCGTCGCGGCAACCCGGGTCTCACTCCCAGGACTTGGTTGCCGTTCCAGTGGATGCACGTTTTGACCTTTTTGGGCCAATCCACGCAGGCCATGGCTCAAAATCAATGGGATCCCATTTAGGGGGTTTCGGTGCACCACCCATGTTAGTATTTTTTGGTGGGGATTGGGATGTTCACTAATTAGGGGTACGTACGGGCTTTTGACCCATGGCCATTTGGGTACAACCCCCCCCCCCTTGAATACAATCCCACATGCCGTCCCGCTGACGGCCCGATGCGCATGTTTTTGAGGAGGAGATCTTCGACGAGTGCTGCCAAGCTGCAGTCGTTGAAATGGGAACAACATTTCCCAAGAAATCAGCTGGTCTTGTGGCGATTCAGTTGGTGTGAAACAATTGCGTTGTCTTATTAAACCTACAAACTACCCAGGACTTTGCCTTCGGAAGTGTGGCCTTGAACCTAAATCAGACCCACCGCAGAATTCTCCGTGGGGTGTCGCCGATTTCGGGGCTTCGGTTCGAGCTGAAACTAGTTGCCCCATACCTAGTCCTGGTCCATCAGGCATTCAGTCATCCTTTCTATTCTTTCGGGGTGATCAAGAGGGTGTCTTGTCCTCTTGTTCAGAGTTCCTAGGATAATGTTCAGACTTCCTCTTTTTCAGAGTTAATTGTTCAATTTGGCCAGAGTTCCTCTTGTTCAGAGTGCCAAATTTAGTAATGTTCACGCCGGATGAATCACCCTGGTCTCCGATTCCCCACGAATCAACAAACCAGGGACACCCCCATATGGTCTACGCGTGTACTTGGTGAGAACCAGCCATGCCTCTAGGTCTTAGGCGAATTTGTAGTAAAGGGTTTAGCGGGCGTTGCCATTTAGCCCACTAGTTAAACCTTTAGGAGAGCCCAGTTTATTAATCCAGGGTAACCGGGGTTAACATTAAGCCAGCTTCACTTTACCGGCTACGGGTTTCTGCCAAGTTCTTTCTTGAGATTCCGGGAGGCGACCCTGTTCATGATTTGCAGCGATGTGCTCCAGAATTCCAAAAGGGTATGCCGACCCTTACCTGGCAGAGCTGCGAGTCGGAGTCAGCTAACAACTGATCTGGGGAGGTCAAAGCTTCCAGCCAGACTGGAGACCAAGAGGCCCCTTGACATTTCACCACCAGCAACCAGTGAGATTTCCACAGTTGATCTCCTGTAGCTTCATGGTTCCCAGAAATGCGGTTCCTGAGGTGCTTACTTACTATTATTTTTGGTTGGTTTAGTCCATTGAACCCACCAGTTCGCCGCATTCATGGTCGTTGGGAAGCATTTTTGCCCCCATTTTTGAGCTTCTGGTGGTTGAGTGGTTGAAATTTCCAACTCCACTTACCCGCCAGAATTTGAGAAACAAAATTTGGCTCCCCGAACCCAGGGTCAGCCAAGCCTTTCGTAGGGGATCAGTTTGGAGAGCCCATCTTGGCGTTTTTCCGCCGTCCGCTCAGTTTCGCCTCGGCCCCGAGGTTTGGAGAAGTACCAGGCCGTCCGAAGCTCCGAGCCATGGATTTCCCCGCAGAGCTCAGTTGTTCAAAGCTGACCTTTTGACCTTTGGCTTTCCCGTGTTGGTCCATTTTTAGTGCCAAAAGGTTAACCTTCTATTTCTGGGTCCTTTGGGCAAGTGCGAGGGTGTTGACACATCCCCCGAAAAGACCCGAACATTTTTCAGCAAGGCTCCGGAAAAAAGAAAGAACACAGAGATCTCCATTTTGCTTGCAACCATGTGAAAGATGTGGCTTTTTCAAGACCGAAATAGAGGGGAACCACCATTTACAAGTTGCAATGTTCAGGTGTATGATGTAAGGATCCCTGTTAAGGTGAGCTTCCCTGGTACCCAAATTTAAAGAAAGCTTCCCTCCGGGTGACGTTTCTTGCAGAAAGATAGGGAAACCGTTTTGGCAACGCTGGGTGTTCTGATTGAAAACAGATCCTCACTTCCTGAGTTCACGAACTTTAAGCTTTTGGGGTCTGGACCAGTCTAGTGCTTTTTCTGGCCAACCCACTCAGGAACTGAGGATCCTTTTGGGGTTGGTTTCAAGGGAAACCGACAAAGGAAACAAACCATTCTTGGGATTTCAGGTTCCTATTTTGAGACAACCCCATTTGTGTTTGTAGGATTCCAGATGCCACGGGAGGAGGCTGATATTTGCTTACGGGTCAATTCAAAGGAAGGTCGGTATTAATGAAAAGTAAGTAAGGTGGTCACCACTCACCAATCCAAGAGGTGCTGGCGTGCGCTGGCATCTTGAGTCATGGATTTTTCAGGTTTCTGTAACTTTCTCCTTTTATCAGCTTCCCTCCAAAGGGTGGTTTGGATTGGTGGTTCGGTTGAGGAGGGGTTCCCTATTCTGCAAGAACAAGTTCAAATCTCCGAACCGCCAATCAATCCTTACCGCCAAGTAAGGGGAGGCTGACTGTCGAGTTGGCGTTTACTCCAGATAAACATGGAACCATAGATTGGTCATTCTTTGTAGAGGCTCCTCTGCTTCTGGGGGACACCAATTTTTGGGTTCCTTCCGTTAGTTTGCCGGGCACCATTGGTGATTTCTATTGCAAGTATGAAGTGGCTGCATCGGCAAAGCTGTTGAACAGACAAGCCGCAGGGGCCGCCGTGAGCAAATAAAGCCGCAGCCAACATGCTGAAGCTTGAGCAAGATGTCAGAGCCCACTGGGACACTTTCCCAGACCTTTTCGAGGCAGCGACCACAGTTACAGTTTGCGGCAGCTGGCTGCTGACAGCAGCAGCGGAATCCATTGAAACAAACGATCGCCACTGTTTCAGCGGAGCGCAGGAAATGGTTCCAAACATCGCGGGAAAATATGGATCTGGTTGTGCTCTTCCTTGTGAGGGTACCCTTTTCAGGCCAAACCGCCCCCTTTTCTGGGGGGAGACAGCGGGCGGGGGGGGGGTTCGCTCCCATGAGAGAAACCCCAGAACCCGAGGTCAATGTTCACTTTCCTACATCTAGACTTTGCATGCCAGAGTCATCCGCACACACAAGAGGTGCTGGACTTTCGACTTTTTATTCGGGTTTGGTGACCCTTTTTCGTGGCATAGCTTTTTGTCTTTTTTGGCCAAGCCAAGTGGCATAGAAGCAGTTTTCTAGGGGTACCTTCCCCCTTCTTTCCAGGGTTCGTTCCGTCTTTCCACCAAACCTCCGGAAACCCGATCGGGAAAACGGCGATCGTGTTTTGGAAAGAACGATGGTTGAAAAGAATGGGCAAGGCATCACCCCCTAGAAGAGTCCGCAATTTGCCCGTGTGTCTTGAAATAGGGGGACCCACAAACATGTGGAGTGTTCCTTTTGGTGTCCCTTTACACACCGTTGGTTCCTTCTAGAAGTTTGGTTCCTTTTGGTTCACCGAGCGGAAGGTTTGCTGAGGACTTCCGGCCGGATGTCTCCATTTGGGCAGGCAGTGCAGGAGAACTGCCTCGAGGAGATGCGCCTGCCGCTGGATGTGGTCGACGCGGTGAAGCAGGCCGGGGGCTTGGTGGAGCTTTCCTTTTGTTAGGTCCCCCAGCGAGGTGCCCTTTTTACACCCAACTTTTTTGGTTGGGAGGGTTCCCCTACTAAAAATTAGACTACAGAAAAAAGTTGGTACATTTATTCTAACCTCTCCGCTGGAGGACCTAGTTCATTAGATACATGGTTCTGGGTGTATCATTTTGAGGCCAGGTTTCGATTGCGACTCCCAAATGAGTGGTAAAAGTGAGGCCATTCTGAGTGGTAAAAGTGGTGGGTCTCACTTCCTCAGTTCTGTTTCGGACTTCTAAGTCTTAGGTTCTTAGTTGTTTAGTCGTTTCTAGGGTTCAGTGGTTGAATTTCCATATAATTTGCTAATAATTAAACTCTTAGCAGGGGGAATCTGAGGACAGCCCAGATTAGTTTCCCGCGGAACGTGGACGTGCGGACATCGTGGACTCGCAGAGATGGGCCATATACCTGACGGAAAAATGGCAAAGCAATAGCAAAGCCACCATTTTGGGGTTCCAACCTACAAAAAGACAGAGAGACCCACATCGGGGTTGATAAAAAGGGTCCTTTACATGGGATGACCCTTGCAGAAACCACGAAAAGGATGATATGTCATGTCCCACCAAATGTGAACAGTTGCCCTTGGTCATTTCAAGCCCGAAGGGCATATGGATCAACCCCGAAAGGATCCTTTTTCCTTGGGCTGGCTTCTGATTTGACCGCATGTTGAAAGAAGTTGCGGTGCTTCTGGGTGAATCTCCGGGATCTGCCCTTGAAAAGAAGCAACCCAAGTGTGGCCGTTCAGCTTCCATTTGCTGAAATGAAGCTGCTTGATATGTTCCTTTGGTTTTCAAGGGGAATCTAGCACTACTGGATTTGTTTTCTCATTTGGCCCAGGGGGCGTATCTGCAAATGGAAGTCAATAGGCACTTCTCAATCAATTCTGCGGATGGAAGGCAGTCTTGGAATGTTCTCTTCGCGGTTTCTCCGCATTCCGCCTCTTTCTGAAGCCGGCTGCATGGGGAGGTTTGCCAAGAATCGGTTTTTTTCGTGCCAACATTTGGGGACATCCCAGCCCGTGTGGAAATCTTTGGGCGTTGCACAGCCTCTGAGTTGGTCAACTGCAAACTTGCGACCAGATTCCAGATGATCAGTTGTACCGGACATGGGAGTGCCTATTTTGAGGGCAAAGTTGTTTCTGTGTTGGTTTTTGAAGGGAAGCCAAAAGGAAAACCACCACTGTCCGCACTCTCCGGTTCCCTAAACACAGGCACTCCCACACCTCGCCATCGCCAATTGTCCCCGAGAGACTCGACTTCAAGCGGAAGGGATCCTTTTGGTGGAGCGATACGGTGGATGCGAAGTCCATTTCGAAAGCCCGAATCCCTGGTTTCTGATGTGGTCCCGCAACTTAAATGCCAACACACGGTGTGTCAACTCCATGGTTTCTGGGGTTACCCTGCTTTTGACCAACAGATGTACCCCTTTACTGAAACTGGGACCTCTGACGAATGGTTATCTCTCACTATGGGCTTATCGCCGAATTCGGACCGAGCAGGCTTGGAGCCAGTTCGTCTCCACGCAGTCCAGCAGGGATGCCGCAGGCGCAGACATCCGAACGGCTTTTTGGCAGAGGGCAGATATAACATAGGAGGAAGGGACCATATATATATATAATATGTATGTGTATATATATATATATATGTATACAAGCGCACACACGTTTGTTCAATTGCTGATATGAGCAAAGCTGCCCTTAGTTCCCATGGAAATCCACGGTTAGCATGTCTGGACTTGCTCGATGTCCAGTTGCTGCATCGACAGTTTCGATGTTGGGCACAAGAATAGCCGCGCGCCTTCCAGAACTTGAAAAAACAAAAAACTACAGACAAAAGGTTGGTACCAACTGATTCGAACCTCTCTACTGGAGGACCCAGTAGCATAACTTATTTGTGTGGGTGGGTGGGGGGGGGTTGGTTGAACCAACCGGCGCCGTTTGGAAACAGGCCGTGCAAGAAAGATACCCATGCATCAAGCGGCTCGCCAGAAAGAAGCCAGCGGCTCAGAGGTCCAATTAGGGTCCGTCTCTTTTGAGGGGCTTTTTTCTTTGGTAGGTTTTGAAACCAACAGGACTACCCCTCCTCCCACTAACATGGCACCTCTGCGTGGAGGGACCCCCTGTCAATTGCCTTGGCAACGTGGGAGAGAGGGTACAGCAAAATTCAAACAAAACCCAAGAATAATATGATATAAGATCAGAATATACGACTAGAGACTAGACAATTGATATGATAGGAAGCCAAAAGGACTAGCATCATTTGTCCACCCCGAAATACGACGCACCCCAACCCCACCGCTGCCAGGCGAGGCCATCTACGCGGCGCTCTTCGACTCCGCGCCGACGCTGCAGAACCTCTTCATGACGCCAAGGCTGGCTTCCATTTGCTGCAATGAAGCAACCTGAGAGGGAGAGAAAGAGAGAGAGCGAGCTGGAAATTAGACTTCAAGGGGTACCTTCCATTTCCATTCTTTCCTGCAGGGATCCTTCTTTCTAGACAACCTCCTGCAATGATTCCTGTACTTTCCTTTTCCCCGTGGGTTTGTCCACTTCGATTGTTGAAAAAGGGCACAGATGGATTCCAAGAACATGTGTATTCAACGATGAATCATAAAGTAATTCACCTTCACAAGGGGCACACCCAAGGGCTACCCTTTTGGAGATTGCAGCAGATTGTCCGTTGCTGAGCGCGTGATTGCGAGCCAACGCTGACTGCTTCCGGTGGGGCGATTTGTTTTACGTGATTCCAATCCAACTACCAAGTAAGGGCAAGCTGAGCATTTTTGCGAGGGTACTTGTTTTTCACCTTGGCTAAATCGGAAGCCCCTCTAGCAAAAAACTGCGCGATGGAGACAAACTTTGGCCCAAGTGTTAGATGTGTCCTCTCTCACAAGTACATATGGGTGGTCTTCTTTCAGGTTGGACTCCCCCAAAGTTGGTTGGTTTTCCTTTTGGCTTCCCCTTAAAGCCGCAAAAGAAACGAGGTACCGACTCCAAAAAGGACACACCCATATGATGGGCTCTCCCAGAAGTGTGCGATGCGAACAAGGATCAACCCAATCCGGAGATTCGCTGATACACGCACATGTGAGTGGCAGTTTTTCTGGAGTCTTTAGGATGTAGGGCCATCCACTCCCCATGCAAGCAATAAGGGGGGAACTACCTAACTTTCCATGTCGTGACTCTTTCGCTGTTTGTTTGGACCTCCGTCTTACCTCTTGCTTGTCCCCTAAAAAACAGGTGGGTGAACTTTGCCAGCTTATGGCTTGGTGGTTCGCAGCGATCCGGTCCAACTTACGTTTTTAGTTGGGTTTTAGTTGGTGAAAGGTGGTTGGGTGTCCGAATTCAACCCACAAGTTCTCGTTGTTTTTTGGCAGGGGATCAGTTTGGACAGATTTGGGCATCGGCCAAAATCCAAATCGTACCCCCAGTGAACATCCCAATCCCCACTATAGACTCAAATGGGTGGTGAATTCCCCTACCAACCAAAATGGGGTCCCAAAACGGTTTTGACAACCACAGCCATTTGTCGGGGCTAGGATTTTCGTCCATGGCCTTCAAGTCGGCAGGTCAGTCATGGCTTTGCGCTTCATGAACGGCCCGGGCCCTTTTGGCCCTCGTGACGGGTGGAGCGGCAAGCAGCGGTACCGCTTCTGGGTCCCCCAGTAGAGCCCTTCTCTTCCCTTTTTTGGCTGGGAGGGTTCCCCTACTAAAATAGACTGCAGAAAAAAAGGTACCCTTATTCTAATCTCTCTACTGGAGGGTTTAGGCTTTGCTTGGATGCGTGAAAGGTCTTGCAACCCTTCTGCTCACACTTGAGTGTGGTGTGCGGGGCGGTCGGCTGTGGAAGCAAGTCCAGATTGTTCCACACAAACTGACACAGGCTTTCAGTTGCAAAATCCATATGTGGCCATGTTCTAAAAAAGGTGATGAATTCACCTACCAACCAAAATTCGATCCCAAAACGATTTTGACAACCACAGTCAAGTGTTTTTGGCGGCGCCCAGCCGGGGACAGCGTTGCTTGATGTTCGCTTTGTGCTCAGAACTGTTTGCGTTGACATGGATGGAGAGGCACATCATGCTTGCAGGCTGCAATCGTGCTGCTTCAAACAACTGGCTGCATTGGAAAGATTGGGGCATGGTGCCCCAAAAATGGTCAGTTTCCTCTGGGTTTCTCTTTTTTCATGATTTTTGGCCAACCCCAAAAGGGTACCCTCAACAAAAACAACATCCAATCTAGGTTTGAGGGCTTCTCAGACTGCTGAGCAAGATGAGAGGCTGGATTTGCAAGAACTTCCCTCTACAAACGACATGACTTCTAAAGATGGAATTGGTGATGAAGGGAACGGCTTGGCATGTGATGGAAAGAGGATTAATTCGCAAATCAGAGGTTTCCCAAAGGAATGATTCATGATTTCCAGATTTTATCATATAATTTGTCCAATCGTATATTCTGGTCTTATATCCCTGCCTAGGAGCCCAAGACCCTAAATATGCGGGCCTTGAACCCCCAAGTCAAATCATGAGGTCTTGGGCACCTAGGGTATTATATTCTTCTTTTGTTTTGTTTGATTTTTGGTGTACCCTCCCTCCCACTAACATGGCAGCTCACAGGGAGTCCCTCCAAGAGGAAACTGATCTTCCAGGTACCCTCCCACAGGTGCCATGTTAGTGGGAGGAAGGGTATCAGTTTTTCTTGTTCTCAATATGCTTTTTCCGGAGTTGATGTCCCCTGACCCGTCCCGAGGGAAGGCAAGACCTGAGCCGCTCCTTTATATGTTCATCTCGCGTATGCGTCTCTTCTTTTTGTTTGTTTAAACATATTTCTTAATATCACTTATTATCTCCTTGAAATGGTTGTTTTTCTTTTGGCTTCCCCCATTTTAGGGAAAGCTTGCAAACTTCTTCAAGTACAGAAGTTCTTCAGAGGCCCAGTTCTACGGGAGGTGTCTTAGAATAGCGGGGGCCCCCCCAAAATCCAAAAATGGCTTCGGCTTTCCGTGCGGCGTTTCCCTTTCCAACCGCCCCGAAAGGGGGCGACCGAGTACCGACGAGTCCTTTTCAACGGCTGGGCCTTGAGAGAATTACAAACCGCGCTCCAGGCATTGTGTGCATCATCATGGCCTCGCACGACCCCGCGGCGCTGAAGATGGAGGCCTCCGACTTTCCCGTTTTGTGGATGGTCAGTTGAGCAGACCTTTCTGTCCGCATCCAGATGGGTTCCTGCGTTCCGTTTCGCACTTGAGGCACTTTTGGTAAATAGAAAGTTGTGACTTTTTGGCCAATCTAAATGGTGAACACCAAAGGGTCTTCCATGCAATTTCACCCGCATGTGGTTGATCTTTAACCACCCCAAAGCAGGAACCCTCAAAACAGAGACCCATGTGAGAAGAAGGTTAGGGGCAGTCCCCTTACCACAAATAGGTGAGGGAATCCGCCTAAAAGTTGAATGTCCTTCCCGGATTTGGGTAGACCATTTTAATCCCAGGTGTTGATGGCGAATCAGTTGAGCTGGGCATGTGTCAAGCAAAGGGGAGCCCCAGAATGGATCTCAGATTTCCTTTTGGCTTCCTTTTCAGACCATCCGAAAGGGGCCCCAAAGGGAAGAGGGGTCGCATAGTCGTTTGGCTCTGTTTCTGGTGATCAAAGTCGGAGTTCCTGGTTGCTTGTTTCTTTTCTTTTTGACCTGCCAAACGGCGGCTTTGGTAGAATCATGGAGCCAGTTTGGGTCGGGGGTCGGTTACCACTTTGACTTGGCTTGTCAGCTCGTCTCTTGCGCATCTGAGACCGCCAACTATTGCTCCTTGTTCCACTTGAAGAATTATGGTTATCATGATTGTAACAGATGTCCGACAAATACAGAATTGCAGTGAGGTCCTACACGCGTAGCTGGAACAAGACTAAGACCATCCGGCTGCCGGATCAATCCAGGACCCCTTGAGTGGTTGTGAAAGGACACTTTGACGAGTCATCAATCCTTTTGGATCCCTTGCGAGTTTTGTTCACCCCAAAGCTTCCATTTGCTTAAGACTATTTGTTGTGTTCCCCTGTTGGTTTCACAGGGGATGCGTCACTACTGGAAATCTGTTCATTTGTTCCAGGGACTCAAGCAAATGGAGGACTGCAGGCAAATTCGGCAGCATGTTTGACCGATTCGGTTTTGAAGACATAGCCGACAAGCAAAAGGTTAGATGCAGCCATGGCTCCCAACTCCAGCACCCTTCAGCTGAGAGGTGCTGGTTGCCTGTTTCCCCCAGGAAATGTGGGAATCTACCCCGAACTGAGTCTGTTTCTTTCTCTCTCTCTCTCTCTCTCTCTCTCTCTCTCTCTCTCTCTGTCTCTCTACAGTAGATACACATACACTTCTTTTCTGTTTTTTTTACACAAAACATATATATATATATATGTGCACATTCGTCACATCATTTATGTATATTTCAATTTTCTGTCTCTCTCTCTCTAAATATATATATATATATATACATATATATATATATATTTCTATAGCTACTATTGCGCATGCAGCTGAAAAAACTCGCTCGGTCGCTTTTTTTTCCCGGACGAGAGGTCGAATCCATCGGCTTCCGGCATTTGGAGCGTGCCCGGATCCCCAGCTGCCGCCTGCCGCCCGCCGCCCGAGTGACTTGGGCCGGCGGTTCTCAGCTTCCCCCGGCCGTTTTTTTTTGTTTTTCTTTCAACCAGCGGTGCTCAGCGTCTTTTTAATGGGTGGTTTTTCCTAGTTGGTGGTTTGGATTGATGGTTTGGGATTTGAACCCCAGATCCTTTTGAAACCAAATGGGGTTTTGGTAGCCCCTAGCGTCCAAACCAAACCAAACTACAAAACCAAAACCACCTAGAGGGAAGCTGAGGTCAGGGCTTCCGAGCCAGATCCCTTCAAGGGAACCTCCCAAACAGAAATCTGGTTTCTTGATCGGGTTCTTTGGTCGCTCGGAAGCCTTGTGAGTATGGGAACAACTTTTGCTTAAGGGTAGTATTGGGGCAAAAAGAAGCAGAATCAGAACATCTTACAGCGGTTTCCGGGCCGGTTCCCTTTTGGGGACCTCCAAAGGCGGAATTCGATCGTTTCAACGAAAACCACCAGATTGCAACTTGTGATTTGCAAACAGTTTGGCTACTTTTGGGCCAGCCCACTCGGGCAACAAGGTCAGGCTGGCCCGACAGGTCTTTGGAAGAAAACGGGTGCCAAACACAGGCAACTACCTGAAAAGCTTGACTGCTATTGGGTTGGATCTTTAGACTTTAACTTTTTGTTGAAACCAGGGGGTTTCCGAAACCCCCAACACGTTTATTTTTTTTTCAGAGGGGTCAACAGCAACCAAGTGCCAAACTCGTCCCAACAAGGGGGTTCGAAACGAGAGAAATCCTAAGTTGGTTACTGAAGTGCGGTTTTTCCCTTGGGATCTTCGGCAACTTTTTGGTTGGAATAAAACCCGCAACAGCAAAAGGGGGATGGATTCCTGGGTTTGACACAAAATGGTGCCCAAGCACGTACCCCCAGCGTCGGGCTATGGCGGCTCAAGGACGAATCTCACCTGAGAGAACGAAAGGCCAGGTAAGCGAAGGTTAGTATCAGGGAAACCAACTTGGGATACAGGAGGAACCAGGGATACTGGAGGATTCCCCCGTTTGATGCACCTCGACTAAGCTTGATCTGGGAATGGCGCCAAGGGAATCCCCGCATATCCCCGCTCCCTCCGTTCCCCGCTTGTTCGTTTGTCCAAAGGGGACGGTCCCCACCAGAAATGGGTGCGAGAATCCGCCTTTGCATTTCATGTTTGCTTTTTGTTGGGTAGGCCTTTGACATTCTGCGCACGTGTTGTTGCTTCCGTCCATCCTCTCGACTTAGAACCGCCGACAAACCCCCCCTCCCCGCCCGTCCGCTCAAAAAACTGAGAGGTCACTCCCGAACGGGGAGCCGCAGCAAAGCAGCGGCACTCCCCCCAAGAAAAAGTGGATTTCGATGTCTTCGGATTTGCCGCAAAGGCCACCCCAAGTTGATCGATCAAGAGAAACACGTCGACTTGTTCGTCGCATTTCTTGAAATGTTCCAAATCCACGTGCACCATTTCCCTTTCTGGAATCCACCGATTTTCCGGCGTTTGCCTTTTGACTCTTGTGGATGGGGGAAATGAACCACTTCAAAAGATCTGTTTCTCCCAGGATAAACACTCTAAAAGGAAATTGACACCGATCTACAAGGGAAAACAAACAACCTGACCTAACAACTTGAGAGAAAGAGAGAGGTGTAAGTCCAAAGATTTCACAGCTGGACATATTTGTCCTCATATTTTTCCCAGGGCGCGAACAAACAAAACGCAGATGGAAGTTTCTCAATTCTCGAAGGATCCCGACCTCTAGGAATTGGTCCCAAAAAAATTGGCCCAGTGAGAAGGCTGGGTTTCAGGTTCCGCTCCTGCGCGGAGACCCGCAGGAGCTCACGGCTTCGCGGGTGGCGGTCTTCAGGGAGGCCATCGTGGAGCTCTTGGACATGGACAGCGCGGCTGGTCACCCCGCGAAGAAGCGAAACCGTCCATGTGGGTGTGGCTCTCAAAATTCAACGATCGGAGGGGCAAACCGCAAAAATGTTGGTCCATGGTCCACCTACCAGGGTTCCATTTTGGTGCCGGGTTTTTGAGCCACAGCCATGTCTTAAAGCAAAACCATCCATGCCTTAAAGCAAAACCGGAACCAACACAAAACGCACACCGCTCGCACGTCACACAACTTTTCGGTTGGTGCTCACTCGGCTCACTCGGGTGTTTCTCAATGTTGGGGACCCCTCCAAGTAGGTGGTTTCCTCTCTTTAACACCTTCCGAGAATCCCCAAACCACCAACCAAACCACCAATTAAAGGAGTTTGCAGGTTAGGAGTGGATTCTCATTTTCCCTCTAGAGCAAAGGGTTCAAATCCCCAAACCACTAACCAAACTAATTCGTGGAGTTTGCTGGTTTGCTGGTGGTTTCCAATTTACCCTCTGGAGCAAGGGGTTCAAATCCCCAAACCACCTACCAAACCCACCAATTAAGTGGTGTCCCATTTGCCCTCTACAAGAAGGGGTTCAATTTAACATCCACACCAACCAAACCAACGGGATACCTCGTTCGCGCCGGCGTTTTGGCGCCACAGGAGCTGCCAAATGGCCTGACCTCGAAGGCGAAGATGGGGCTGCAGGCAAGTGGGTTACGTGGCAGAGCGACGGGCTTGTCTCAAGCCCCCAAATCAGAGAAGCAAACTAGCAGGGATACCGCGGAAGCAGGGATACGAGCAGTTGTGCAGTCAGTTGAGCGCTCGCAGCCCCATCATGTTTCGGCTCTGGCCTCAACACCATTGATCAGAAGGCTCGGTATTGTTGAAACACATGTTCCTTCTCACAGTCCCTCGGGCTCCGCGACAGGTTCATGGCCAGGACTCGCTGTGACAAACTCAGCATTCTGTCTAGGGCTGGCTGTGGACGTTGTGGCATTTCTTGCGCGTGTTTTCACTTTGTCCTCCTTTTAGAAGCTCTGTCTTTCCCACTAGCTCAGGTTCCTTTTCTTCCACTTGCTGAAATGCATATTGTTTTTATTTCCCCTTGTTGGGATTAAAAGGAGTTTGTCACTACTGGAGATATTTTTTAGTTTTTCCAGGGGTCTCAACCAAATGGAAGTTTTGGTTCCCCTCTAAAAGAGATAAGCATAAAAGGGTGTTCGCTCCAAAAAAGACAAACCCATGTTTTAGGGGCGTTTTAGAAGCAGTGATCCACCCATCTAGGCTTTTGGTTTAAAGTACACCCCCTGCCCATTCGATTTTTTTCACAAGCCCCCACAAGCGATTTGCAGTCCTGACGTCTACATTCGGAGCACCTGATGCCCCTTTCTTGTGCTGTTTGTGTTGGGAACGAGAGTTCCAGCGCCTGTTCCTGTCTGTTTTAGGTAGCCAATCCGTTCAGCCAGGGTTGTGAAGCTCTGGCAGGGAAGAAGGTGCTGGGAACTCTTGATGAGAAAGGCTATTTGGGTCTGTGTCTTTTGAGGGTACCCTTATTGGGGTTGGTTTGAGGGGCAAAGGAAGACCACTATTTGTTGGTTCCTCTTGGCAGCAAAGCCATTTATGGTGAGACGAATCATCAGGAGCACATGTCCATTCAAGGTTCGTTGTCAATCGCAACATGTCCAGATTCTTTGTCCTTTTTCCTTGCGACCTCGTTGGCTTTGTGTTTTGCGGTCAGCTTCGATCGCCGCAGACTGGAGTCGGCGAGTCAGCCAACGTCATGGTTGAAATCCTGCACCACTTTGAAACCGGGGGAACTATCATAACGCTTGTTGGTATTTACAGGGAATCATATCATTTCAGGGTTTCTTGGGTTGTGCAGAATTTTGTCCATTCACGGTATAAGGGTCATGTATACTGCAACTCTTCAGAGCAGTGAGACTGAAGGAGCTTAGGTTCATGGCGGGGGCTCAAGTTTTCCTCCAGTGAGCATATTGCTCCAACTGGCTGGTGGTTTATTAGCATGTGAGCCACAATCAAAACCCGGGTAAGTGAAAGTTTGTAAGGGACGATCCCAGCCATAAATAGCTGCGGCTGCCTTCTTAGGTCGACCATTTTTCTACCGAGGTTTGATTGTGACTCAAATGAGCAAGGGCTATCTATTTTAACCACAACAGCAAGCAAACAAACGGACGGTTGAGGCTTCCCCGCCTGCGAGTCAACTCTCGGATTCTGTTGGGCTTTGGTCCCTCAATTCTAGATGGAGAAGTTGTGCCCCATCCCAGATGTATTCCCATAGCATCTGTGGGTGATTTTTTCTCTGGAATGCCGAACAAGCCAATGTGTCGCTAGATTTTGCCGTGCTGGAATGATCCCTGCAAACCATCCCCTATGGTTTCCTTTTATGGGAAACCCTGGGTTCATTCCCAACACCCTAGATCATTCCCTACTGAGCACCACCAAGATGATTTCAGTGGGGTCAAAAGAAACGAAAAGGCGATGCTGATTGAAGAGATCTGAGCTATCAAGATGTTGTCCTTCCTTCCAGCATAAAGGACCACTCACTTCCTGAGTTCATGGACTTTAGTCACGTTTTGGGTCTGGACCGCTTTAGTGGTAAACAACAACATTGGTTACCTTTTCTTTGGTGCATTTTGCTTGGCTGTTAGGACTTTAACTTTTTGCCAACTAATGGATTTTCCACTAAACCACTAAAAGTTAAACTTTTAGCAGGGGAGCAGAAAGCAACCGAGTTTTTTGGGGCCAATCCACTCGATCGTAAGTAAGACCAAGCAGTTCGACGCGTCGCCTTTGGATCATGGCTCCCATGGAGGCCATTCTCAACTACGCGGGCGGGGCCTTCATTTATATCCGCCTGGTGCCGAGATGGATGGCTAGGTCCCCCAGTAGTGCCCTTCTCTCCCCTTTTTTGGGGGGAGGGTTCCGAATACTAAAATAGACTACAGAAAAAAGGGTACCCTTATTCTATTCTCTCTACTGGAGGACCTAGATGGCATTCTGGGCAAGGTAGATGGCTATGATCTTAGGAACCCAGACTGGGTTCAGACCTCTTTCCTGGTCTTCATGAAGCTGGGAGCCCGTGTCTAGTTGCAAATATGTAGGTATAGCTTTGGTTGGTTAAGCACAAATTGGGTGTTGTGCGTGATCCGAGAGTCTGGGGAGATTTGCGTGCGCGCGCGAGAGGCTCGTGTTTGGTTTCTGAAGACTCCTCACACTTGTTTTGACCATACGCCCCACCCTTTGACCATCCATTTCCCACCCTTCAGAAAGAAACCCTGCAATGATATGATTCCCGTGTACCTACCAACCAAATGCAATGGTTTCAACTCCATGGTTTCATTTCATGGTGCAAAATGGATTTCGTCCATCAGTATGTTTGCTATGAGGTAGAATCTTAGCGGCTTTCTCTTCATCCCCTCAGCCCTAAATCCACTTTCTTCCCAGTCCCTTAGCCTGGGCTGGTTTGGGGCTGGATCCCATCGCGGCCCGCGAGTCCGACGCTTGGAACGCGGACGCCGAGGTCAGAACTACTTGGCGCGGGTGAAGGTCATCCAACGGAGCTGGCGGATCGCCAACAACAAGGCGGCGGCAACTGTGGCACCATCGACGCCGGGAGGGGTTCACAAGATTTTGTGGCCCCCAGCTAGGTGCCCTTCTCTCCCCTTTTTTGGGGGAGGGTTCCCCTACTAAAATAGACTACGGGAAGAAGTTGGTACCCTTATTCTAACCTTTGTACTGGAGGACCTAGACAAGATTTCGTGGACCCCCTGGTTGGTTGGTACTTGAATATGGAAGCCCAAAGCACCCCCCCTTGTTGGTCAATTTAAATGGAAACTATAGCTATTTTAGGGACGCCTCATTTTAAATCGAGAGACGTTCATTTGGGTATGGGTCAAAATTAAACCACCAGGGGACCGCAGGTTTTAGTCTATGTTTCCACTTCCCAGGGCAAGCCATTTTGGGTACCTATTCTTGACAACCACAGCCATTTCGATAATCTCTGTGGGGCCTTTGGGCTCCAGGCGGCGAATAAACCTCATGAATGAAACTCGGGGTGCCACTCAGCGGGATGGTTTCGCACTTCCGCGATGAGAAACTCTCACCTCCTGAGTTCTGTTTCGGACAAAAGGCGCTCGCTGGGCTTGGGCCATCTGAGGTTGGTAAATAAAAACCTCTTAACAACACAAAACTGTTCTCGACTTTTTGTGTAACATGGGCTATATGTCTGTAAAAGGTTAACTTCCCCAATCCTTGGAGTTTTAAGGGGTAGGTAAATAAAAAGTTTGGTTGCTTTTTCTGATCCAAGTGACACTCGATGTTTGGCGATGCATCGCAATCCCAGCCTTATTCTTGCGTAGAGACACGGTAGCATTACAATTAGATTTCGCAAAACAAAACGAGTCTCCGCGTGTTTCAGTTGGTGGGTGGTGTAACAAGTGGTGTATGTTGTTTTTTTCGGAGGGTACCCTTTTTGGGGTGGTCTTGAGGGGAACCCAAAGGGAGCCGCATGTGTTAATTGAGGCGCTGTTTGCTTCTTTCAGGTAGATTGTAGTTCCATGAAACGCCCCCCCCCGAACCACCAAAACCAGCAATTGGAGGGAAGCTGAGGCTTGGGTTGCAACGGAAGCCACAAGAAAAAAGGCACTTCTTGTTATGCGCGGGGGGGAGGTCCCTCCCTCTACTTTGACATATGGGTATGGGTCAAAATTATACAGGGGATCGCAGGTTTTAGTCCCCGTTTCCATTTACCAGGTTTCCCTTTGCGGTACCTATTGTTGACGCACCCACATACCCAGAATGCCATACTAGACTCTTTTCCTCACCTTCTGCACATGCCATGTGAGCAGCGGCTTTGAGTCTTGGCAAAGGATATTGGCAAAGGATGACCTTGGTCGCTTGGGAATGTGGCAAAGCGGAAAGTTTTATTCATCAAGCTGGTTGCGAAACTCCCATCCGGTACCACAACGCCAAACATCGCAGCTCGGTTTTCGTCAAACAAGAGTTCCACTGGCTGCATGTTGCACATGTGCAGGATGGTCCATACTCGTCGTGCTGCTTCCGGAGTTGTGTCTGAAGGTTTCCCTTGGGAAAACAAGGGCACCACCCTAGAATGCAGGAGCCCGCTCTGAGGTTGACTTCATATTCCGGAGAAGGAACATTCAAATGCCCCGGTTGTTTTTTCGCGGGATTTGTTGGTTCCCAAAAAGGGTTCATGATCAAAGGTGCCTCACATGCCCAAACCGAATCGACCTTTTGACCTTTGGGTTTGCCTGATGTTGTCCGTATTCTGAGTTCCTGAGTTCCTGCACTGTAGTCTCTACGTGGGTTTGGACCATGTTCGTGGTACACAGCAAGTTCCTGAACTTTTTTGGCCAATCCACGCGATGGGAAGCGAGTATTTCCTCGCGGCCATGCACTTTCCCTCGCCTTTTCGGCCGCCGCGCGGCTCGGTTTTCGCCGCGCAGGGCGCGGTGGAGGAGGAGGACGCGAAGAGCGCGGAGTCCGAGCAGCAGCAGCAGCAGCCTTCCAACTCCCGAGGCGGAGCAATCTGGTTGGTCTGTTGGTCTTGGGGAGGTCGCTTTGGCCGTCCCAATGTAAGTAACAAAAGCAGGAGGACTAAGTGAATTTTCCCTTCAGGTTGTTTCCTAAGCCAGGCTTGTGGGGGGAATTTGGGTCGTTTTTCCATGTCCTCCCCAAACCAACATCAGACTGTCAGTCATATTGTGAGAGTATATCCTTCGATGGAGAGCTACTGGCATTGTTGTCGCAAGTTGTTTGTGATACCCAAACAACTTGAAACCCAAACTCAAGCTACTTGACCTGTTCTTCCCTGTGCGTGGAGGTCCAAACAAACGCGGTAGTGAGGCTGGCGTTTTTCTTGAAAGGTGACAACAGAGCAAACGCACGCAGCCTTAAGATTTTCAAATCAGCGATCAGGTGTGTGTCTGTTCTTGCTCAGTGTATTTGTGTTCAGAATTATTTGGCAGCGACGAACTATGAGGGTGGGATGAATGGGTGTTTCGTGGATCAGATACCCCTCAAAGGGATTCATCATCACAACCAGTAGGCTTTGCAAACCTGCTGATTGCCCATCCTGGTCAGGATGCATCGCGCCAAAAAAGAACAGATTTGAATTGCTCCGCCCAGTGTTGATAGGGGGATTCTAGTAGACTGTTGCCTCACAATCGAACAGAGGGCTGAAAAGGGCTTGGCTGGCTTTCGGATTCAAAGGGCCAAACTAATCAGACTCACTCCCTGAGTTCCGTTTCAGACCTGAGTCACTTTGTGGGTCTGGACCATTTTAGTGGTTGACCCCGGATTATATAATACACCCCTGTTTATTAATATGGGGGTGTTCCCCTCCAAAAGTGATAAATCCCCACTAAAACCGGGGACGCCCCCTATTAACAAACAGGGGTTTATTAATCCGGGGTCAACATTACACCAGAAGTTTGGTGACTTCTGGCCAATCAGCTCGATCAGAGGTGAGCAGGGGAATCCCACAGGGGTAACTTACACAATCCATCCACTTGATGGCCGTGGCAGCGAATAGACCACGAAAAGGCTGCGCGTCGCTTTTGGACACACCCAGATGGGGTGTTTGTTGGTCCCCTTCTCGGGTAATGAAGGGAAGGAGGGCAAAGAAGGAAAGGCGAACAATTTGTTTGGGGCTAAACCGATTTTCGAGAAAAACCAAAACCAAAAAGAAAACATATTACTCTCCGGAACCATTCGACGTTCGGGGAATCCATTCTCCATTCAATGGGACCATTTCCCGAACTTCGAGCGGTTCCGGCTGCTGAATTGAACCTGGCAGGGGGGTCCTGGAAGACCATTCTCCTTTTAAAGGGATCCTCCAACGTCAGGTTCCATGTTAATTGGAGGGTATGGAGAGGTGGTTTGGCTTCGTGCTCGTTTGAAAGCTTTCTGACTATCTTGCAACTGGTTTGCCAGACTTCCTGCAGAAGTCCTTGGAGGAGACCGTCTCAGGACGGGCAGAAGGCAGGTCCGGAGATCGGAGGTAACAAAAAGCAACAGATCATCCCAAAGCCCTGCTACATTGAACTGCTATCCAGGGGTATCTCGAGAAGCACATTCTGTTTGGCCAATCTCGATGCACCAAGAATAGCGCTGCCTCCAAAAAACCCTACGCTTGATGGACAAAAATATGTTCGCACCACCTGAGAACCAAAAAACATGTTTTTGTCGAATTTTCACAGGAGAGCCATGTCGTTCCAGTGCAACCCCCCTCCCTGAATCTGATCCAAATCCTGACCACCTTGTGGTTTACACATGGCCCCAAGGTAATTTTCCGGTAGTGATGTTTAGAGGAGATATATAGGGACCCCTGCGGAAGGGAGGAAGGGAGGAATGAAAGAAAGAAAGAAAGAAAGGAGCAACAAGGACGGGTCAAGCCTGGGGCCTAAACCCACCGTGACTCTATCCTAAATTTATGTCAAACGCTTTGAACTCAGCCTGTAGGCTCATCTAAATCCCACCCGGTGCCATATTGACCTGTTATCCATGCCATCGTGGTTTAAGGTTGTCTTACTGTGGCTGTTTAGGGTATTGAGGGTGGATCTCCAGTGACTAGGGTGGATTTAGAACACGTGTCATGCTGGCTTCGGATTCGGATTGGTTGGGGCGGTGAACCCCGGCGGAACTCTTATTTAAAGTTCAGCCAAGTCAAGTTGTGACGCGCCACTAGCTAGTGAGCCCAGCATAAATCAAGCCTAAATCCACCAATCTGCTTTTTCCAGGCAGGAACATGTGGGCGTATGTGTTTTGTTGAGGGTTGGTTCAAAGGAAACACAAACCCGAAATCCATGGGAGTTCGATTCCAGTCTTGACGCACACACACACACACATGTGTGTGTGTGCCTGTGACCCCTTTTTGTTGGTGCAAGGGAAACCCTTTAAGGCTACGAAGCATAGGGAACCGCTTTTTGAGACACCTTTTCCTGGCCAGGCAAGAAAGGGAAAAGACGCAAACTGACCTTGCGAGTTTTACAAGCCTTCACTGTTTGATCATGTGTTTTGATTTGTTACTTCTTCTTTTTCCGGTGTTCTCTTCGTTCATTTTGAATCTTTAGGGGCCCACAAAGAACGAGCAGCTCCAAATCCAAAGTTCGCCCAGGCCGAAAGGATTCCAGGCGCTCGGACGGCTCGAAAAACACCTCCGCCACGGAGCTCAAGGAGCGGAATCGGATTCGGACGAAGCGCGAATCGACATCGCCCGGCGTTTTCAGACTGGAAGGATTGATTTCCTGGTGGTTCAACCAGGCCGGTTCAACTTGCTTTGGTTCAGACACCAAAGGAAGGAACGGATTTATTTCCGTTTGGTTCAACCAGGCCGGTTCAACTTTTTTTTGGTTTGGTTGGGTGTCCGAATGTAACCCAAAGTTAAGTTTCTAAACGTGGAATGGTTTCTGAGCCATTGTCCCTTTTCCTTATATAGGGTTCCTTAGAGTTTCTTGAATCTTTAGGGTTCTTTTGGGAGCCTGCGGACCCCTTGGAGAATGTTATAATTCCAGGAGGGAACCACCAACATGGCAACGGTTTCTCAGTCAACCAGCCCTCCAGTTCAGCTTAGTTTGTTGTTTAAAAAGAAGAAGAAGCACAACATGTGTTTGATGGGTGAACGGTGGTGGGGTTTCCGAATTTGACCCACGCGTTCGTTATTCACCTTTACGCGGACAGCCCAGGTGTCTGATATGATTCCCCCAACGTAAATGCCAAGAAACCTCCCGTTTTTTTTTTTGTCATACTGCTGTTTCTGAGCAGTGGATCTCGCGATCTCTGGACCTCGCGACCATCCACTCTCGCCACATGGATGGTTTCAAGCCATGGCTTCCTGGTCGTTTCATTTCGTCGGAGAGTCCCCAGGGTGGAGCACCCCTTCCCATGGGTCAAAGGGGCCAAATCTTTGGGCAGGCGGGGGCCAAGGTGAGAAGCAACAGCCAAGCTGAGGGTATGAGACGAAACCCAGCTGGTGGAGGTCCTTTTCGGCTGAAAGGGAAGCAGGTAGAACGAATGTCATTGATCAATACCCTCCAACAATCATGGAAGCTGACAGGAGGGTTTTGCAAGACTATTTTCCTTTTGGGCAACCCCTTTGTCCACTTCCATGATTGTTGGAAAGAGGGTAAAACAAGCAACATTCAACTCATTGAACAAGTTCGAACCTTCTTTGGGCCAATCTCCCCGAAACGTATAAGGGACGCCTTTGGGTGACCCGAAATGGGCTCGAACAGATGGGGTCGTTTTGGCTACACACACAATCCGTCGAATGCGCTGAATGAAGCATCAAGCGGGTCCCTTGGAGTCCCGAGTTCCCTACAGTAGAGAAGGATTTGGGGAAAGGAGGCAACTGGAATTACACTGGAATTCTATCCATGGTTCCATGACGCCTGGAATTCCATCTCTGCCTTCCTCCATCAGCTTGCATATGGTGACTCTGGCAACTCCGAAGAGGCTCATCTATGCCTCTCCTAGGACCAGACTAAGTGAAATGGGGAACCCAGCCCCAGCCCCAGCCCCGCGAGTTGCAATCGCCAGGTGCCGACGACCTTCAACGAGATGTTCCTCTTCAACGCCGCGGTCATGGGCTTCAGCTCTTCCGGAGCCTCGGCGATGCGGAAGAGCGCGATGCGATCCGAGTCCTTTCCCTAGAAGCCCAAGACACACAAAATATTGGGGCCTGGAACCCCCAAAAACCTCCAAAAAGGAGGTCTTGGGCTCCTACCGGAAAAAACATGTGGATTGAATCGGCTGGCGAAGAGTAGGCACGCGGTTTTGGGGTGCCCTGGCAAATGGAAGGAAACACCTGCGGTCCATATCCTGGTGGCGGATTCTTTTTGGGACCCGCCGCTTTGCCTCTGGTCAGGCTTACGCCTTACCCTCTCGCCGTTGCCATGGCTCCTGGTGCTATGTTTGTGGGAGGGTTATGGTTTCAATTGGTTCAGATTTCAAATGGGAGCCCCCAAGCTCCAATCTAATTCACTTGGAAGAGCTTTGCCTTTCCCGTGAAAGATAGATGAACCGGTGGACAAGTGGGGCATGTGTGTCTTAGATAAAAGTACCTCAAGACCTAGAATCCTTTGCTCCAAGCCCCAAAAGGTGTACCGAGCCTGAACACATGATTCACCTTTTCATGGTTGCCGTCGGGAAACATTTTACATTTTTGCTTATTGTGGTTTGGTGGTGGAAATCCAAGCACTGAACTGATAAAATTTGAGAATTGTTGCTCCCCAAACCCAACGTCAGCCAAGTTTTGCTTCCCTCTTTTCCCCTGAAAGCAGCACAGATCACCTTTCACAGGCCCCCCAAAGGGGGACCCCTTCGCTTTCTTTGGTCCGACAGCACACGTTAATTTGGGGGAATCCGAGTCCGAATCTTTTTGGGACAATCCAAAAGGCGAAGGGGCCACAAAAAGGTCTGGGAGCTGGTTTTTGGTCCGGATCGCACATTGTGGCAGGAATCTGTGATCCCTTGGGAGAACCATTTTCGTGGTAAATAATACCTTGACTTTTTCTGGCCAATCCACTCAGGAAGTGAGATCTAGTTTACCACAAAACAAATCCTTCAACATTTTAACGGCAGGTTCAATGCACCAGAGAGCATATGATACGGTGAGTGGATCCACAGAGATCGGCGCCACTTGGATGGATGAAACCCTTAAGACAAACAGGGACTAGGTTTTTGAGAGGTGCCCTTCTCTACCGTTTCTTTTTTGAGGGAGGATCCCCTAACTAAAAGCGACAACAGAAAAAAGGGTACCCTTGTTCTAACATCTCCAGTGGAGGACCTAGGGGATAAACTCCGCCACCTGGTGCGATGTGGAATTTCCGCATCCATTGTTGGAATGTTTCTTCACTTGGCAAGTCGCTTTTGGTTTTGTGGTTCTGTTCATTTTTACTGGGCTGCAAAAGCCAGTTTGTTGCAAGCCATACCAAGAGTTGTAGAGGTTTTTTGGATAGATCCAGCTGATTGGCTTCTCGTTTCTGAGGATCTTGGATGCACAACATCCTGGAGCAATTCGACGGCATTGTGACCAATGTGGCGCGAGCCTGAGCGCCACGTGTGTGGATGTCAGCCTGGATGTCAGCCTCTGTGCAGGGACTGTTTGTCAAAAGCTGCAGAATGGGTTCCCTCTCATTTCAACCTGGAGTCTCCTTCTGACCCGTTAAACACCCTTATTCTTGGTAGGCGTCTCCTTCTGACCCGTTAAAAGCTCTATTTTTGGTGGATGACCCCATGTTTGAAGTTCATGGAGACGCGGAGCGTCCCAAAGAGATGCGCCTGCCAATTGGGATAGCGCTTGCCCCATGGGTCTTCATTGTATGCGCTTGGCCTTCTTTCTACGGATGTTCCTGCAATTCTGGTTGATTTTGTTTTGTTCGGCAGGGCCAGCCTTCAACGCAACTCGGCATAGAGAATACCTTGTGGTCTGTGTGTGTGTGTGTGTGTTCTGCGGTCTTGTTTTGGAATGCACCTAAATATATATATATATATTATATAGAAAAAACTATTTGCAGCGCTGTTTATGTGCTCTACGATCTGACTTTTGTTGGGCTACCATCTTTGCAGGCTGTACATCCACGAGTGCTAACCTGGGCCACGACGGTCCTGGATGGTTCTACATCCTATCGGAATACACGAACAGGTGTAAGGATATGCAAGGATTCTGAGGTACGACCATCTGCCGGCATCTTACTTGCTATTGGGTTGGATCTTTAGACTTTCACTTTTTGGTTGAAATCATTTGGTGTTTCCACTAACCCCCCAAAGAGTGAACCACTTTTTGCCGGGGGGCCGTTGCAGCCACCACGCTAAGCTCACGCGGAGACGCCAGGAATTCCATGGCCTGAGACTGGCATTTGAGCAGCTTTTTGTGGCCAGTTGGAGGGCGTCTCTACCTGGTTGATTGGGAAAAAGCCCAGAAAAAGTTCCATTTGTAGTCACCGACTCCGAGCTTCTGGCCTTTTTTTGACGGCAGCAACCGATGCCATCCGGCTAAAGAACCCTCCGGTTCAACTCCTCTTTTGTTGCTGGTTGTTTTTGGTTGGTTTGGGGGGGGGGTCCGAGTTTTTAGTCCACCAGGTCAACTGGTAGCAGATGATCTGACCGCAGTCAACCAGGCTGTGGGTCAAAAAAAGGCACCCAACATGAGATCCTGGTAAATGGAGACATGGACCAAAACCTGCCCTGGTGGCTTAATTTTGACCAAATATGAGGCAACTGGAAACATGGATTCCACAACCTGCGGCCCATATCCTGGCTGAAATTTTTCGACCGAGTTTTTAGCCCGCAAGGTCAACTTGTAGCAGGTGATTGATCTGAGCCCAGTCAAAAGTCCCAGGGGTTTCGGCTTTCATCAGCTTCGAGGCCAACTCTTACCGCCTGCAAGAGGAGTGCGACGTGCTATCGCTGGTGCTGGCACGGCCACCGGGTTCAAATGGCGGTTCTTTTTTCCGGAGGTCAGGCGTCCCTGTTGTATCCCCTTTTGCCAATTGGTTTTGGAGGTTTCGCAAACCTCATTTGGAAGAGCCCTAAAGGGAGGTTCCTTTGGGTGATATAAGGAGCCCTGGAATAGGTGTGGCCGTCGTTGCCTGCTAGGTGGACTTCTTGAGTTTTTCGGCTGCTGAGTTTTGACGGGATCGATCCGGTTCTTTGCTCTGCCGACTTGCTGCCGAGCTCATCACATCGCCTTTACCACATATCACTTAAGACCAAGAAGCTGCAAAAAACACAGCAATGACCTTGGCTTTAGTGTGACCGGATTTTGCCCCGTAGACCGTTTGGAAACGAATGGCTTTTCCGATAGGCCTACAAAAGCTTAGACTTTTTGCCTTGGGGGGAAGAGCAACCCGGTGACTGGTGGGCTTGATATCCATAGTTCGGGCCCTCAAAAACGACCAACCTGTCCGTGCATGAGTGCCATGTGCTTTATGCGCTTGATTAGCTACTGACCGACTAGGTACACACAGAAGTTCTTGCCTGACAACATGTAGCCTCCTGAGCTCTTCGATTTTTGTTTTATACAGGGGTGCCTGGTTGATTCCTTGTCGCATGGCCATATGAATTGAGACGTCAACTCACCCGCACCACTCGTGTTTGTGAGGGTGTGAACAATCCTGAGCTGTTGCCCACTTGTGGTGGCATGCATATTTGCCATATCCCCCCATTCCCAACAGTTTAGGCCCACCAATGTCCAAAGCCAAGGCAAAAAGGAACAATTGTCTAGCACAAGCTCTCCCGTGTCCGCCGGCATAAACACAAGAGATCTCGGTCCCATTCCTCCGCGAAGTTTCGATTTCAGTCCGCGCGAATCGAGCGAAATCGGACGCGTAGCTGAGGCATTCAGGCTCCATCAAGCTTTCAGAGTGACTCGTCAAGCGGTTTGGACTTCGGGTGTCGAGATCGAGCGTTCGCGTGCTCGAATTGCACTCCGGTGGAGTAACTGGTGCACCTGAACTAGATCACTTCTTAGATCCCTTGGGTGCATTTGGTTCTGGACATTTCGCTTTGAGTGGAGTTGACATGACGAATTAACAAGATGATGCCAACTCCCTAATTTTACATGCGCAATGTCCATTCCCTACAAGAGGTGAAGAGTTTGACATCTCCAAGACGTTCGAGCATTGTGGTAGGATTGTTGCTCCCTGGTGGGCCCATCTGATGTTCTTGTTTTGTTCAGGCGTTCAGCACAGTGTTTACTTCTAGATGATGTATCAACGGCAGGTACCAGACAACGATCTCGCGGTCTCGGATCCTGTCCTCCAATTTCGGGCTGGTGAAGTATGACAGTTTAACTAAGCTAGATGTGGCTGTGGCTCAAAATTAAACAGGAGGCGTCACCGTTGCGTGGGTTTTGGTCCATGTTTCCACTTACCAAGGTTCCATTTTGGAATTTCGTTTTTTTGAGCCACAGCCATGTGTTCGTGCCGACGTCGGAAGCGCGGAGTCTTTTATGTTTCCCTTCCAGTAACATTGCAGGCTAGGTCCCCCAGTGCCCTTCTCTCCCCTTCTTGGGGGGAGATTCGGTTCCCCTACTAAAATAGACCACAGAAGAAAAAGTTGGTAGGTCCCCCAGTAGTGCCCTTTTACCCTTTTTGGGGGGAGGGTTCCCCTATTAGAATAGACTACAGGAAAAAGTTGGTACCAACTTATTCTAAGCTCTCAAATCTGGAGGACCTCGCAGGGACCCTCAGGTGCGAAGTGTGCCTTTGGATCCCTCACCGTGTGTCAAAGCCGATCGGGGCTTCCTTCGGCCTAGAGCTGGTTTAGGGTTGGTTTATGGCTGGTGTAGGTTGGTGTGGGCGGTGGCTTGGACTTGAATCAGGGTTGGTTTAGGGCTGGTTTAGGTGGGTTTGGAAGATTGGTGTAGGTGGTTTTAGGGTTACGTAGTTTAGGGTGTTTTTTTTTTTGGCTGCTTTAGGGTAAGCTTGGCTGAAGGCGGCTGGTTTGGTGATTGATTTGTGGTGGGTTTAGAGGGGTGTGAGGCTGGTTCGCTTGTCCCGGGTCCGTGTGGGGGTGCTGGGGAAAAGGGTCAGGCGATGTCAGGGCGTCCGGTGGCAGCGGTTTGGGGCGGGCACCACAGGGAAGGTTCGGGGTGGGGAGTGGGGGATAGCAAGGGGGGGAGCCTTGCGCCCCACGGATATTTATATATATATATATGTACTAACTAGGTTTGCCAGTAGTGCCCTTTTACCCTTTTTGGGGGGAGGGTTCCCCTACTAAAATAGACTACAGAAAAAAGGGTACCCTTATTCTAACCTCTCAAATCTGGAGGACCTCGTATATACACATGTTGTTTGCTCGTTTTCCGTGGTTAAGCGAAGCTGCTCCAAAAAGAAGGACTGGATGTTGAAATATGTTTGCAAACATCCATCAACAGATTGATCCAGGATCAGGTAGGTCTCCATGGTAAGCTCCTTGAACACAACGTGCTGCGGCTGCGTGTGAATGATAATAGTGTGGGTGGACAAGATCCTTCCCTGCGAAGCGTCTACCAACTGGTGCAGGAGTTTGTCCATCCACAGTATTTTCATGAGTCGGGACCATGGTGGAGTAACTGGTCGTTCAAGCTGCGTTCTTGATTCATAGTTTGATCCCAAACACATGCAGCAGGGTTTTCCAGCTCATCCCCTTTTTCCCAGTATGTCCGTCAGAACGTCAGGCTCTGGCTGTGAGGAGGGTGGGAGGACAATCCCCTTCATTATTTTGCTGGCGCTCAGAAAATATGTGGGAACGAACCCAGGAATTGGTCCCCTGCTAGGTCCCCCAGTAGTGACCTTCTCTCCCAGTACTGCCCTTCTCTCCCCTTTTTTTTGGTTCGGATTGGTTCCCCTAAATTTTGACGTCCTGGAAAAAGTGGGTACCCAAAAAAATATAACCTCTCAACTCTGGAGGACCTAGTACTCTATCGCTACTGGAAGTAAGTTGTTTTCTGAACTACGCGGGGAAATGAACCCAGGGATTGGTCCCCTGAAAAGTTCCCCGAGCCAAAGACCCGCGGCCCTTGAACGACGAAACCTGGCGCGCCTAGAGCGCGCGCGCCTCGTGGTCCGCCAGGTTCAAGGCCGTGATGCTGGCCTCACTGCGGTCCCTGGTGCCCAAGGAGTGCCGATGCCAAGCGAAACGGGGCAGGTGGATCCGCCCGTTTTCTGCATCCAGACGTGGCTTCGGATGTGTTGCGAATCTGTGGATCTACCCCTCCTATGCCCTTTCTCACCCCTTTTTTGGTTGGGAGGGGGAGCCCCCTACTAAAATAGACTACGGAAAAAAGGGTAACTTTATAGGCCTTTTGGCTGCGAGTGAGCCACTGAGCCGTTGGGTTCTGGGAGCTGAGCCTTTTGGGCCTTGCTGCCTCTCCATGAAGGGGTGAGGCAGCGTGCGACTACCTTATGCTTGCGAACAGGTGATACGAACAGCAATTTGCAGTATGCAACTGCTGTATTGAGGGACAATGTGTTTCTGCAGAATTCATGGCCAATGTGTTTACCCCTCGCCGAAGGAGTGGGACTCCAATCATGAAGTAGCCTGGAACTGGCTCTGGGAGAACGTGGAGCGCATGCTGCGCATGCAGATCTGCAAGCCTCAGGCCAGAATTCGGGGCTTGATCAAAAGGTCCGACATACATGGGATGAGAATTGCCTGGAAAATAACTAGAAAGATGATATTGCCCTACTTTAACGAGACACGATTTAATTAGCCATGGTCATTTGGGGGCCCTAAACGGAAGATTGATCAACCCCATGTTCGAAGTCGCAGGCCCCCCCACCCTTTTCTTCCGGGTTAATGGGAACAAAGCAAGGCCAGCAATACCCCAAGACCTCCGGTGGGTTGAGGGGTGGGCCCGCGAAAAAGTCCACCTAAACAGCAGGCTCCTTTCTTGACTGCTATTGGGTTGGATCTTTAGACTCTAACTTTTTGGGATATCATTTGGGGTTTTTCATCCAACCCCAACAAGTTAAACTTTTTGCAGGGGTGTCAACAGCAACCAAGCTTTTTCCTCCCTGCTGGGGCGAACAAATCGCAAAAGCTGGGGCCTTCCGCGCACTTTTGCATAGGTAGGAGTAAAACACAAATGCTAGCACAAGTTGCATGACCACTCAGTGGTCGACTGAGGCTCCCAATTTGCTTGCAGAAACTATGAAGGGTCCCTTCAATGAAGGCCCATAAGATTAAATGGCAATGAATTTTAACGGTTGGAACCACCTCAAAAGTGGAGATGAATCCCCATGTCCACCAAAAGGGTGGGTCCCCCATTGAAATCGTACCCATTCATGAATCATTTGTTTATCATTTGTTTCATGGGGGTAGGAGTTAGGACCCAAAAGGAAGCCGAAAGGAAACAACCTGAGCCCCGATTTGTTTCAAAGCCACCCGAATTTCGCACCGTGACCACGGCTCTCCAAAACTTGGTGGCTCCCAGCCAAGCCCTTAGCCTTAGCTTTTCGGCCTTTTAGTGTTTAGTGATGTTTAGTGGTTGGGTTTCCGAATTTGACCCACAAGAAGTCAGTCAAACTTTTAGGGGATCCGAAAACGGGCCAAAAAGAAAAAAACCGACACCGAGTACTTTCTTGCCTGCTGGCCAACGGTTTCATAAGCACCTCAAACTTGGAGGACCTGGGGGGAGGGGGAAAAGGGAGGGAGCCCCAAGCCCCAAATAAGGCCTGAGGAAGGGGCGGTTCTAAGGGCTTTAATAAGGGCTCCCTCCCCCCTCCCCTCCCTCCCCCCCGCCCCCATGATCATTCGGGTGTTGTCAAAATAGTTGGAAACCCCAAAATGGCTTGCCCTGGCAAATGGAACCAAGGACTAAAACCTGCTGGTGGTTTAATTTTGACCCATACCCATTTGAGAAAACTTGTGGAATTTGAGAAAACGATTGAAGTGGAGGCATTTGGAGAGAGAACATAGGCTCCTAAATCTTCAAGCGTCCCTAGGTGTGAATTTCAATCAGGACCCCTTGGTGGACATCATTATGTGGGTTCATTGCCACCGTTTGTGAGGTTCCAACTCTTGAAATTCACGGCGCCATATGTGAGGTGGTGCTTGCCTCAGAATTACACTGGGTGAATGCAGCCAAGACTTTGAAGCGGAAGTCTTGCGCTGAAATTGTTCCACATAAATTCACGGACGTGTAGATTTGCTCCATGTTTGTTTTTTCCCAACCCCCGCGTCCCTATGGGATCTTAGCGGCTGTCTCAGACTCTGACTCGAATGGGCGCAAAGCAAAGCAGATGTTTACCCTCCCACCAACTAACATGGAAGTGCAAAAAGGCCCTTTCCACGAGGAAAGACTCGTCTTTCCACAGGGGTCTGTGCCCAACCCCATGGAATCGCTGGTGGGAGGGTATGTGAATTGTTCCAACCTCCGGGATCCAAGCGAAGATGTTTTACTTTCCCCTCTTGGTTTTAAAAGGAATCTATGACCAGGGGGGTCTTTTTGCCGCCTTTTGTGAGAAAATTGGCGATACAAGGGGGTCGATACTTTTTCCACCAAAGGTGGCAAAAAGACCCCCCTGTCTATGACCACTGGACATATGTGTGTGTGTGTGTGTGTTTTTTAATTATTAATATATATATATATATATTTTCAGGGGGCTTAAGCAAATGGCAGAATATGGGCGTGGTCCCTGCTTTGGGGCTCTCGCTGGGTTGGTTGGGGACACAAGGAAACCGGCAGCCATTGTGGGGATTCCGACTCGGATGTTGAGACAGCCCATACTTCAAAACAGATAACATTGCGCTTCACCCGGATGGGTAGAGGTGACATATGTTCGGCACGTTTCACGCCCAAATCCGTTTGAGGCCGTAAATGCATGCAACCTTCCGTGATGGCGTTGCTCAGTGTTACGACACCGAGACTCCTGAATCGCAGCACCTGTGCGGCTGTTTCCTGCCATCATCTGCTCTTTGAAGAGAAAAGCTAATGTCTACCTCTGATTAATAAACCCCCCCCCTCCCCCCCACCCAAACAACTTCCCTCCCTAAATAGTGTTCTGAACTTGATTATGAATTGCTAAGTATTGCAAACATATTTTTAATCATAGGTCAACATTACTCCATGTAGCAATGATAGTACGAAGGTATGGTGGACGAACGAAGACCAACCGTAGAGAAACATGATTGCAGCCAAGTGGTGCTAAGTGGGTGAGTCTCAAAAACAGCCCCCTCCCCCCCAAAAAAAATAAAGAACATATCAATAATACTCGTGACTCGTAACAACAATAATAATAGTAGTAATAATAATAATAGATATGTGTTTGTGTATGTGTTTTTTCTTTTGGTTTCGGTTAAAGCCTCAAAAAGGGGTACTCTCAAACAAGAACAGACCAAGTGGTTTGCTCCCCTCATTTTCCCTTCAGGTTCCCGCCCTGAAACCCTCGTGTTCTTGGGTTCTCATTTTCCCGCGCGAGAGGTTTCGGCTGCAAAAAACATTGGCTTTTCGGGGTCCAGACCCCAGACCCTGACACCTCAGAGTATATATATATATATATATATGTATATACACATACATGTATATATATATATACACGCATACACACACACACACACACATATATATATATATATATATATCACCCCCCCCCCCCCCCCGACGCCCTCCCCAGCCCAGACCCCCAGAGCCCCGCGCCAGCGCAGCGGCGCCAGGCCTTCGAAGCAGCGCTGGAGCGTTTCGTCATGAGCCTGGACGAGACCCTCCTGCTGCACTTGCGGAAGGGCATCTACCAGGAGCGCCTTGGACCCTAACACGCCAAAAGTGAAAGAAGCCCAAAGCGGCCACCTTGCCGGAGCCGGATGCGGGGAGAGAGTGTGCCTCCCATGTGAGCTGAAGTCCGGGTACGCAAAAAGTACGGGTGCCTTCCATTTGCTGAAATGAATATATATATATATATATATCATTGTTTCATTTTTCCCTTGGTTTTAGAAGAAATGTATCACTACTGGAAATATGTTCATTTTTTCCAGGGGTCTTCTAACCAAATGGAAAAAAGCGAACAGCCCCCGGATGACGGACGGGTCCCTCCCAGTGGGACCTTGCAAGCCGAATCCTTATCTAGGTCCCCCAGTAGTGCCCTTTTACCAACTTTTTTGTTTGGGAGGGTTCCCCTACTAAAATAGACTACAGAAAAAAATGGTACCAACTTGTTCTAACCTCTCAAATCTGGAGGACCTTGTTATTTTTCCTTTCTTTTTTGAACCGGGCGTGGGTTTTGGAGTGCGCACTTGCCTTAAGAGCAGCACCTGGGTTGCGAGCGAGTTTTTTCGACGCTTAAAGGGAGGGTCCCTTTACTTGGTGGTTCCCAGCCGTCCCGTTAGCATCTACCAGTGCCTTGAAAAGAACAGCACGTGGTGGTTAGGCCCAAGAGTGGCATGGAAGTCCACTGGTGACACGGCGGGAACTTTCGGCTTGGACAAAGTTCGGCTGGTGCCCTTCCCCACTTTGCCATGACACCTGAGAGGGGGTCTCTTCTTAGAAGAAACTGATCTTCCAGGTACCCTCCCACAGATGCCTTCTGTGGGAGGGTACCTGGAAGGTGGTTTGTCCGAAATTTCCGAGGGGGTTGATCCATCCCAGCAAATTGAGGAACCACTCGAGCACTGATTGAACCTTGGTTGAGTTGGCCCAGGACACCCAACGACAGACCCCGTCCTCACACGAGACCGAAACATGCCAAGAATGCCAAGTGAGCAATGCAACCGTGACATTGCCGTGCTGTTCTGCCAACACCGCTTGTAGCAGGGCATGGTTTATCGGATGCAGGAGGAACCAGGGATACGGGAGGACTCCCCCTAAATGCACCTTGACTAAGTTTGATATGGGAAAGGGCGCCAAGTTGGAATCCCCCCACGCTCCCTCCGTATCCCCGCGGTAGTTCGTTGATGGCACCACCCGACAAATGGTGGGTCCCCTCTTCTTAAGCCAAACTTCGATGTTGCCTGGCCCGGGCCTCCAGATGCCACTCTTCCCCTTTCCAACGCTGAACATCCTCATCGCTTGAAAACAGCATGGGTCGAACACTTTTTTGAGGGACGCATCTTTGTGTATTTTTAACGGGAAACCAAAACGAAGCCCACCATTTTGGGGGTCCCCTGTCGTTTTTGCAAAAGCCACACGAAAATGAGTGAAAACAACGGTGCTGGGGGGGCACAAATTCATTTGCAATACTTTGGGTGGACAACCTCCTGCACCAGTTGGAAGGTTCATGCACCGGCGCGAAATGGATTTGGTCCAGTATCGACATTGATTGCAGCACCACCTCCGAGATGATATGGCCATGGGTCAAAATCCAAATCATACCCCCAGTGAACATTCTAGACGAGACTAGGTGGTGAATTCACCTACCCCAAAATGGGATCCCAAAATGGTTTTGACCAGCACAGCCATATTGATGTTTGATTGTTTGCACACGGCTCGCCAGGTTGGAGAGGTTTTTGCAAGCGGGAGGTGTTTGAGTGGGTGAAGTGGTAGACATGTTGAAAGGAAGGGAGATGCCATGATCTTTGCTGTTGTTGGCATGTTCTTACGTCTTTAAAAAAAAAAAAAAAAAAAAGTTAGGGAGTGCAGAAAGCACAGTTGGTTGCTACCATACCAAGGGTGGTAAAGTGATGATGCTGGAAGTGGAGAACACCCCTGTCCCCGTGTTTGTTTTAGTGCGGACATGGGTCGAGGTATCTCGGAGTTGTCGGGTCCCGGAGCGGGCTCAACGAATCGCAAGGTCCTAAGGAGTGTTGAAGGGCCTCTAAGGATTTCGAGCCCTACTAGGTTTTCTAGCTATGGTGCCCTTTTTTTAAACCCTTGTTGGTTGGAAGCGTTACGAAAATAGACGGCAGAAAAGAAAATGGTGCCCTTATTCTAGCCTCTCCACTGGAGGACCTAGATTTCGAGCCCAAAAGGAAACCGCTTGCGCAGAAGGGTCCATCCTTCCATTTTTTGGGAGCCACAGTTGAGTGAAAGATGGCACAAGTCTTGCCTTAGTCGTCTTTGACGAAAAGGGAATGGTCCGTTCGCTGGCCAAACTGCGAAACCAAAGCTTGTTGGGCTTCAAATCATATCCTAGGTAAAATCTAGAACCACTGAGTTTTGGCATGCATTGAGTTTGGGGTAAGCATATAACTCCACCATGTGTTTTCAGCTGGTGCAGCTGTCACGGGTTGCTACCCTAGACTAAAATTAACATGGGTGGTGCACCTCTCCCAAAATGGTACCCCTGGTTTGAACCATGGCCTTGTCGCCCGAGGTTCTTCTCTATGGCGCCCTCAGGGCAGGACTACTTCAAGCAGTCCACCACCCGGCTGTACTTCATAGCAGACCGGCGCCTCAGAAGTCAGATTTGCGCGGAGAGGGGTCTTGGGGGTATGGATGCTTGTAAGGCTGTGTGTGTGCGTCTGGGTGGTGTGTATCCTCCTCCAAAACCTCCCTGAAAATGCCCATGAAAGTCGGTGAATTGTCTTCCATTTGCTGCGAAGGTGTCTTGTACTTTTCCTGGTTTAAAGGGAATCTATCACCGGAAATATCTTGCTCCTTTCCGGGGAATCCTTTTGGAGACATGTTTTTGAGGATACCCTTTAAAGGCTGATCAACGCGGACACCAACCGGACCATTTTTTTCTTTTACGGGGGTCTATATCACAACACAACCCCCCCACCCAAAAAAAAAAAAGAAGAACAAAAAGAAGACAAGAAACAAGAGCACACACAAATACCCCCAAAAAGCAATTGGAATCGATTCGGGACACTTGACAGACGCAAAGCGGAGGACTGACCAAAAAGGGACGATAGGTGTCCTTTTGATCGGCGAGTTTGGTTTGAATAGATGGGTTCCACTGGTTTTGGTTGGTTTTATGCCCCTAAATACCCTCTTTTATCCCCCTCAACAATGGAACCAGTCACCGCGGTCCTAATTGGTGTGGAAAACTAGGGGGTCGTGTTTCGACTGCAACTTGCCAATGCTTAATCTAGTATTGCCAATTCTAAAAATTGTATTGCCAATTGCCAAGCCTTAGTCTCAGATTCTCAGTACTTAATTTGTGTGTTGCCAATTCTAATTTGGCTGGGAAGAGCTTGGTTAGGTGAATCACCCTTGAAAAGAAACGGCGGAGGCGGAGGCTTTAATTTGGGAGTTTCAGCAACCCCTCAACGTGTTTGTTGGGCATTAAAGCGACCCCCCTTTGCGTAAGTGGTTGCCCTTACTTTTTTGTAAAGCAAGTTATCTTGATTTTTATGGTTTGGAGACCACTAAAAAAGGAGGTCCTAATGTTTGCCCGGATTTGTTCGCCTGTTTGTTGGTCCGACTGTTTTTTTGGTTTTCCTTTTCCGGCAAAAAACACCTGCTATCAAAGAGGACCCCAACACAGCCACAGGATCCTGAATTAGAAAAAAAGGAGGTTCGACATTACCAGCGTTCTGTATTTGTCGAAAGTCACCTACGCCCTCTACTCTTTTCGGAATCATTTGGCTACGACTTTTAAGAGTTGGAACCGCCAAAGTGCTTGGACATCTTTCTCCCCACAGCATTTTGAGGTCAAAGGGCTGTTTTTTGTTGAAGGCGAAGCGCTAGATCTGTGGCGTTTACCGTTTTTGAGCAATTCGTGCATTCTCATTCATTCCTGGCCCCCCTCGTCAGGGGATATTCTCCCGGTGTCAAAACGGGCATGCCATTTTTTGTACGGTATCCTTTTTGAGGTGGGTTCAAAGGAAAACCACGACAGGACACCGGTCAATTTGCGGATTCCCCATTTTGGACGCAAATGAGCCAAAATCAAAGATCGCGGGATGGAGTGAGGACATATTCTCAACATTTTGCCAGGCTTCGGGCTTGCGCAAGGCCTCTCCGCAGAACGTGAAGAATCCATGATGACAGCCAGTGTCTGTCAATCAGGACCGACATGCATATTTAAGCAAGACAGCTGATTCTTCCATCCAGAATCAGTCTATTCACCCCCACTCACGCATCCATTCACCATCGTTTGCCTTTTTTCCTCCCAAGGGTTGTAACGTTCCTTTGGGCAAACAAAACCTGAATTTGAACCCTCTCTGAAAGCTGCCCGGGAACGAGCCCAATCACACACACCCAGGAGTCAGGGTACATGTTCTTTGGTTTTAAAGGAGAACCAAAAGGAGAGCCGAGATTCATTCTTGGTGTATGGTTTTGGCTTCCCTTTGATCTCCCTAGAAAACCTGGATGGTGACTTACGCTAAAGAATCGATCCCCGGAGCGCCGGATTTTTCTCCGGGAGCACCGAACCCGACCGAGACCGACCCAAGAAACCGACCCGGGAAACCGACCCGAGAAACCGACCCGAGAAACCGACCCGAGAAACCGACCCGAGAAACCGACCCGAGCATTCTTGATTCTTGATTCTTTATCCACAGCCGACACACCTACCTCAAGAGAGGTTAAGTGGGGCGCAGTTGCGCGATACTTGTAGCGGATTCCCGAGGATCATCGAGATGACCATGGAGATCTTTCGGAACCCCCGGCAGATGGTCGAGGACATCTCCGCCTTGGGCCTCCGCCGCTGGGATGTTCGGTAACTAGAACGCCGGGCCAATCTGAACGGAGAACGGGGGAATGACGTGATGCGCGCGATCAATGGCCCAGCACTGGGTTTTCTCTTTTTCCTTTTTAGATGCCCCAAAAGGAAGCCAAGGGGGGGGGGGTGAAAAGTGAATTCCAGAGCCCCTATTTTATGCAACAAATCTGTACATAATCCATGATTTTGGTAAGTTCTACCTGGTCGTATGGTAGCCACCCACCCACCTGGATCCCCAGTTGCGTTTTTTTCTTTTTTCCCCATGCAAAATAACCCCAAAAAACGGATCGCAACAGTGACTGAAAGAAGCGATCGCAACTTGGCGATCTAACCATTTCAGTAGAGCCAAGAGTCAACTTGGCCGGTTGGCCGAGCTTTTGGCTCAATGTGGTTCACCAGTTCGGGGCCACGGGTACGTCAGCTTTTCTGGAGCGAGACGAAGGTAAGCAGATCCATACTGGAAGATGGATTTGAGGGAGGGGGCTGACCCCTGGAAGTCCATTTATTCTTCACATTCTCTAGATACCCCACCCCCTCCCTCTTGAGGTTGGGGGGGTTTACGCAGTTTGGGGGGCTTTCAGTTGATAGTTGAAGGGCGATTGGCTCTATTCAACACCCGAAATTCCCAGCGGATTTCCGATGTGCGCCAAGAAACGACCACTGTGTTGCGACCACTTTGCCTTTGGATGCCATTCCTACTGCAGCCCGTGCCAAGTGCGTTTGACGGGCGTTTAGCATGGGGCTCGCGGAGAATGTCGAAATGAGTGAGCCAGGCTTTGGTTTGCCAGGCCCGACCTGAACATGAGGGCCCCTCGAACGAAGTGCCTAGATAGCCAAGTGGCGATCGCTTTTTTTCAGCCACTGTTGCCGGTGTTTGGATGGTCAAGCGCATGGAAAAAAACGAGCAGCAACTGGCGATCCAGGCGCTTTTTGAGACCCCCCAAAGGGAGCCCGGGTCTCCCGTGGGCTTTTGGCTTCCCTAACCAGCCCCTAAGGGTACCCCCCAAAAAGGCCCCGGCGCACCCACGTTCGGAGAAAGCAACCACTTGGATGTAGCCAATTGAGAATACATGCTATATGCATACAATCGATAGTTGCAACTATACGTGAATATATATATATATATAGACAAATATATGTATACGTTATGAGTTATGCAAGTATATACAAGTCCAGACCACTTTGAATATGTGCCCTGGAAATCCACGACTGTTTTTTAAACGTCCTTTGCACCTCGCCTGTTTTTTGCAGCTAAAGCCTGTTTTTTGCGCCTGCAATGAGCCATGGCGTGGAATTTGATGGATTATTCATACTGTTGCCACGTTTAGATTCTACAAAGCTTGTTCCCCCCCAACATGTCTTGACACAACAATTTTGGTGTGAACATAGCGGTCCGTGATGTACGCAAAAGCAGCAAATCACCGTGAAAATGCTGTGAAATTGGCGTGAAAGCCTGTTTTCCAGCGTGAAAGCACGTTTTCTGCCGTGAATTTTGACACCGGTGAATCTATGGGTTTCAGCCTGTCCTTTGGTAATCCCTCCGCTTGTTTTGTGGGAACGGAGGTCAAGTCTTTGCACACTTTGGTCCTGAGCACGTGCGGCACCCGAATTGTTCAATGATATCAGCTGAGCTTGGACAAAACTACTCCTGTCAAAAAACCGCCTTTCACAGAAAACATGCAAAATAAACCGCCTTTGGAACCCCAGGGTGTGTATTTGAACAGGTACCTATCAAACATCTACATTTCGAGCCCGTGTGGACACCCACCTCCCTGTGCGGGGCCTGGGGCGCGGCGTGTTTTACTCCGAGGCCATGTGGGCTACGAAGTGCCTTCCGAACTCTTCTCCCCCTTCGCGCGGGCCCCGTCCGTTTGCTTCCGATTTCGATGTCCTCGAGTACATGAAAGGTTCCATTTGGGCCAAAGGGGGAACATGGTCCAAAGGCCTTTTTTTAGGGATGGGTTTTGCGGTAACCCAGTGTAACCCATTTGCCACTGATGTTGGGGTATGTCCATTTGGGGTATGCAAGTTGGCGCTTAGCGCTTTAGGGCAACCTAAACACGACCAGATGATTTTGCTCGGATGCCAACTCTTCATTTTTGCACGGGAACAAGGAAGCCAATCCGACAATTTACCCTAACCATGATTTGTTTATTTGCAATATTGAGTTGGCATCCACAGTATGTTGCTTTCAATAGGAGGGCGTGAGGGAAATCGTGCTTGCTTCGGTGCCCAAGTGTTCCTTTCTGGCAGACTAAACAATGGGCCATGAAGCATAGCCTGGCTGGCTGTTCAAGCCGTCTATCTTGTCTTTGCGTGCCAAGTACACTGAGGGCGCGGCGCTTTGAGGGGGGGCGGTTGAAAAGCAAGTCAAAAAAACAGGGCTCCTTAAAAGATACATGTTGCAACCATTTGAAACATGTGGCTTTTTCAACACCGAAATAAGCGGGTTTCCCACCATTTACAAGTTGCAAGGTTTAGTTTTTTTGTTTTATTCATGCATCCGGATCCCTGAAGAACAGTTCTCTCAATCGTTGCTTTTTCCCAGCTTGACCTTCGCCAGCTGAGTCATGACGCTGGTTAGGCATCCGGTTCCTTAGGCCTTCGAGTGGCGTTTTGAGCTTCGGCCACAAGTCTTCGACTTTCTTAGCCGGATCTGAGGACAAAGGCGGTTGGGTTTCCACTTCAGCCACAACTTGTTTTCAACTTTTAGCTCAGATCTGAGAGGAGGACACCCTGTAAGACGTGGCGTGCTTCTCTTGTGGATTCAATGGCAACTAGGTCCCTCAGTGGTGCTCTTTTATCAACTTTTTTTGGGGGGAGGGTTCCCCTGCCAAAATAGACTACAGAAAAAAGTTGGTACCCCCTAAACCCTAAACCCTTATTCTAACCTCTCTAGCGCAGGACCTAGGCAAAGCTTTGGCCCACTGACCGCGGCGTTTGGGGCAAGGTCAATGCGGCGGTGGAGGTCATGAGCGGCATGACCAAGGCATTCGGGGCATTCGATTTGGGCACCGGGATGGCACCGGGGTGGATGGCCAGCGCGAGCCATGGGAGCCATCGGGACTTTGGCTGGCCCCATTATTCATAACTTGCATTTGGTTAAGAACGTGTCGTTTTTTTCCCTGTTGGCGTTTAGAGGGAATCAAGTTCACGACTGGAAACTTGTTTTTTTTTTTTCCCAGGGGGCTTAAGCAAATGGAAGATTATGAAAAAACCAGTATGATCTGAAAAACCAGTATAATCTCGACTCCTACTAAGGGAACTATGACACAATCATACTTACAGAGTCTCGACCATGGCCCCATGATTTAACCATCAAAGTCACACACCAAGTTGTAGGTTCAAGGGACAAACCGCTCACCAGTTTCCGACTTAGACCCGCAGCAATGGTAAAAAAAAGCTGACCCCAGATCGGCGGCAAAAACCAGCGAAGCGTCCGGTTCAACTTCGGCTTGTAGTTGGCTTTTAGTCAAAATGATCAACTGCCCGTCAACTGCGCTGGTTGCTAGCAGCCCCAACAGGTCCCAGTGCCCAAGGTGATCAGAATGATATGCTGTATTCTTGGCGGTTCTCCGCCGTCCCCTTAGGTGTTAGGTTGTTGCTAGTTGGTTTTATGGGGGGGGGTCCATTTAACTCACAAGTTATTCACTTTCAAGGGATCTGAGGGCGGCTCAGGGTTTGTGCATCTGGGGTCAACATTAGTTGGTTTGGATTGGCTTGGATTTGCACCCCCTCCAAACCAATCCAAATCACCAGGGGGAAGCTGATAGCACCTGGTGAGTACATTGAGTACATACATTCGGACGGTAGATTCCATGTTTGCCACAGGGCTCGACCGATTCACGGTGAGCCGAACACCTTCCTGTAGGGCTGAGGCTTGTGTGATGCTTTTCTCCAAGCCTTACTGACAACCCCAGTCTTCTCATCAGGCATTTAGGTTTTTTGGGGTTTAGTGGTTGGGCTTCCAATTCACCCACAGGGATTTGACAGCCCAGGAGCGAATTGGCCTGAATTGCCCTTTCGTAATCGTGCGTCGAGTCCCTACGGCCGAGTGGGCTCAACATGGCGCAAACACCATGAGACTGCAAATGGGGCGCCGATTACGCAAACGCAAACCCACGCTGGTAATGTGGAGGATGCTGAACGTTCTAGAAAAAGTCAGCCTCAAGCGGGCAAACAAAAGCAACGCGCAAAAGTAAAGCACCACTAGGATTTGTTTACAACATCACGTGCGGAAGGGCACGCAAGAATGTCAAACCTTGGTGGCTCCCAGCCATCCCCTTAGCTTTCTAGCTTTCTAGTGTTTAGTGGGGGTTTCCATTAAGCCCACTGAGGGTTAAACTTTTTAGCGGGGGCTGAGGACAGCCTGGTAACGTAACAATTGAACTGTATTCATAACAAAGCCATCTCCAGCATGTGACCAACGCTTTCATGCACTTGAATCTGCGCTTCCCTTGGGGCCTTCAGCACTCCTAAAGATCAACGAAACAGGTCCAAACAGGAACCGTTGCCATATATTTACGACAACCTCCCACTTGTTTCAAAGGCACCCAGTGGAATCTCCTCTTGGGAATCGGACAGGTGGAGCCCCTTCCGTGAATTTACAGAGTGCTTAGGTGTCCGGCCGAGTTAGTCAGTTGGTAACCCAGGCTATGATTCGCCCACCTACAAAGCCCCCGGTTGTGGGGTTAACCTTGTTAGGGGGTGATAATTCCCCCAAGTGGCTCACCAGAGACACTAACTTGGCGAATCGAACATCCAAGTAAATAGGACAAACCCAATGAACCCTTTGAGCCGCAATGAAGGACTTCCAGCTTCAACCCAGGTTTTCCAGGCTCCGTAAAGATACATTTTGCCCATATCGAAACATGTTTTTCCCCCACCAAAATAAAGGGAAGCCACCATTTACAAGGCAATGTTCAGGTGTTTTTCATGCATATAAGGATCCCTGTTTTCCCACTGAACTTGAAGCGCGTCGATCACAGAAACGGAACTCCCTGTTCAAAACCGTTTTGGGATCCCATTTTGGTAGGGGGGTTGAATTGGATGTTCACTGGGTACGGTTTTTGCTTTTGACCCATGGCCATTGAAACCTCCCTGAGCCTAAGCCTCAAGTTTGCTTCATGTTTCCAGCCCCCGAAGTTTGCCCTCCCCAACCCCTCCCCAACCCCCCCCCAACCCAACCCAACCCCCTCCCCAACCGGTGTGGCTCAAAATTGAACAGGAGGGGCCAACCGCAGGTCTTGGTCCATGTCTCCACTTTCCACTGCAAGCCGTTTTGGAAGGCCGGTGTTTTTTGACTTCGCCACGGCCTCATGTGAAGCCCCCGGTTTTTTTTCTTCGGTGTTTCCCCTCCTCCGGCCGATCCAAATCGGAGGACGAGACGGCCACCAGCGCCTTCCGGTGGTCCCTGACGCTGGTCTCCAAGATCCTGGTGCGCACGCAGCTCGAAGGCCAGGGCGAGCGGGCGCGATGGACGGCGGGCTTGCTTGGGGCGAGCGGGGTTGGGGGGGGTTGGGGGGGGTTGGGGAGGGGGGGTTGGGTTGGGGGGGTTGGGTTGGGGGGGAGTTGGGGAGGGGGGGCAAAAGCCGGGGGCGAAGAAAGGAGCAGAAGCCAGGACTCGCTGCCTGAGTTGGACTTGAAACTTTTTGGGTTTTGGACCATTTTAGTGGTAAATACGATGTAAACAACCAGTTTTGGACCTTTTTTGCCCGTCCACGAAGTGAGATGAAGGTCCTTGAGGGATTGCTGAAATCTCAGGCTTGGAGTTCATGTAAAACAACAATCCGCCCGGGGCCCGGTATTCTCACCAGCGGACCTTCTTGGAATGAAAGCTGCCCCCCCAAAACCACCCCAGAGGTGCCCTTTTATCTCCCCTTTTTTGGTTGGGAGGGGGAACCGCCTACTAAAATAGACAAACGAGAAAAAAACCAAGTTGGTAGCAGCTTCTTCTAGCCTCTCAAATCTGGACCTAGATTGTCAGAGCCGAGTGTCTCGGCCTGTGGGCCAACTCCAAAGCTCTCCGGGGAATAGTCCGCAAGAAGCTGCGGCAGGCAAAGAAGAAATGCCTGCGCAACAATCGGCCAGGTCCTTGCAGCCAGTCCCGAATGCTTTGGATGAATGGCTGCTCCCAGACAGCCAAGTCGCTGGCTGGGGTAAAGTGCATGGAGGGAGAAAAGAAAAGACGGGCGATCCGGATCGCTGTGATTGACCCCATATAGAGTTTCAATCCCCGTTGATGAAAAGGGGGCTGCTTGTGGGTTTTACTGGGGAAGCAGCCCGCTATTGGAGGGGAACACCCCCCCTATTAATAAACTGTGGTTGAGGAAAAAGAGGGGTCAACAATAGAGAGTTGTTTACTGAGTATGTGTGGGCACTGGACATGGCCGAGCTTTGGAAAGCGGACTGTACGGTGGTGTTGACTTTGAACAATTGCTGGGATGCTGCCGGATTTGCGGGTTTCTCCAAATAATTCAATCCACATACGGGCGTCCGAAATGTCCGCTTGGAGAAGCTCCCATTCTTATGGGCGGAATTCACGTGTTTCTGAAACTGTCGAATGAGGCAAATCTACTGACGGACCGGACGGACCGAATTTTGATCAGATCCGGTTGGGCGCAGTGGCCAGCTTTCGCTGCCCAAAGTCCAAATGCTGTGCCATTTCCTGGCGGCTTCGGGAATCACTCGTTTTGGGAGTGAATTCCTACTCAGATCAGGGAAACCACCAGTTGGATGGTTCAGTTCGGGGTCATTTCCTTCCCTAAGAATCAGCCCTTGTGTTCCATGGACCAAAGAATCCACCAGTCGAGTGTTCGGGGGCAATTTGCTTCCCATCTCCGGACGAAGGTCGGGTGCAAGCTGCTTCCCACTCAAAACAAAGTCCACCCCGGCGACTTTGCAAGATGCCCAGAAGGGGAAGAGAGCGCCACCTTGGCCAGGCTCCACCATCGTCATGAAAGCCATCAACACGAACCAGGAGAAGGCGATTCCGGGTGCGGATGGATCTGGAGTTGGCGGGGCCCAGAAGTGGGTTCATGTGTTTGGAGGCTTGGGGCGCCCCTTTTCTTTGATGGTTTCAACAGGAAGCCAGAAGGAAACCACTCATCTTGTGAAATCCACCATGTTGAGGCAACCGAAAGGCCAGAGGGGGCGGGGGGAGGGAGGGTCTCAATCGGGCCGCTTTCGGTTCGCAAGAGGGAAGCTAGTTACAAGGAAGCTGTTTCTTTCAGGAAATGGACCCATTCTTCATGAGCATGAAGGCTTGTTCTGCAGGCTACTCTGGTTTTGGCAGTTGGCTTCATTGAAGTAAGTCCTAGCATCATTCACCTTTGCACCCCAGCAGTTTGTCATAAGCTTTGTTGATCACAGAGCAGCTTACACGTCACTCCAGTTAAATGAAAAAAAAAAACAAGATATCACTTGCCAGCACGTTATAGTAGGTAGCCCTTGGCCATTTTCCTTCTGGTGTTTAATGGGTGGTTCCCTTATTTACCCTCTATACAGCCGCTGGACATGGCTTTCATGGCAGTGTTCCACCATGCTCCCGTGCTGTGGCATTAGGCTGTGGGTGCCATACCTTTGAAGATATCCCCCGCAACACAGTTTTAGGATCCAACGAGTGGGCGTGGCTCAAAATTAAACAGGAGGGGCAAACCGCAGGTTTTGGTCCATGTTTCCACTTACCAAGGTTCCATGTTGTGTATCGGTTTTTTGAGCCACAGCCAAGTGTGTTTGTTGGAGGAACCAGGGGAATTCACAGGTAACTCACCATGGAACCAACCAACTTGGGTGTTCCCCCATTTTTGAGCCACCCATATATGACCTGTGGTTGTTTACCCCTGAGCAACAGAAGTCACAGTCGGAGCACAATCCTTTGTTGGTGGCCTAAGTGTGACGTTTTGACTCGCCCCTAGGCGTTTGGGATAAGGGACACATCATCAATTTGGGGCCCCTACTGTAAATGGTTGCGAAATCCTCTTAGGCACCACCTAAGAAACCCTGGCTGTTGATGATTCTCCTGTAAATACCAACAAACAATGGTTTCAACCATGGTTTCAAAGTGGTGCAGGATTTCGTCCATCCACAGTACCTGACGATAGTTTCAGTCCTGAGTCATCCAGATGGGTGTGTCTCTTTTTAGGGGACCCCAAACAATGGCAACGGTGTCCTTTTGTTTTCCTTTTTTCAGCTACCCAACAATGGGTAGACAGTCATACATGGACAGCCCCCGCTTCAAAATTCTTGCAGTGGATCAAATTACAGCTATAGTAATTATCAAACAAGCATGGTTATTTGTTTATGCTTTCCCAGGTAAGCGCAATCACTGTGTCTTGCTTGCCGGCAATCGGGGTCTTGCCTTTTTGGGTGGGTTAAGGGAAACCAAAAGGGCACCGTTGCCATTTTGGGGGTACCCTTCATTTAGAGACATACCCGTACGGACAACCCCCTCCCCCTTCAAGCTTCTTGCAGTCGATCCAAGTAACCACTATAGTAAGTAACCATAGGTGTCCTTTTTGGTTGTTTTGGTAGAAAAATAGATGGCCCTGGTTTTCCTGGTGGTTGAATCATCTACCAGGGCCATCTATTTCCGCTAAAAGGACACCTATGTAGGTAACCCTTCGCAATTTTCCTCTTGGTTTGTAAAGGCTGACAAGCCCTTAGTTGCCTGTCTTTGCCAGGTAAATGGATCTGGGTCGAGTTTAGCTTTTAGCTTCTTTTGTTTTTCTTGTTTCGGAACAACTACCAGGTACCTGGCTCTGGGTAAATAGATCTGGAACATACTCACTCCCTGAGATCTTGCGCTAGTCTCTTTTGCGTTTGGACCAAATTTGAGTGGTGCAAATAAAAGGTTCGGTTATGTTTTTTGAGGCGATCCACTCGATCGGAAGCGAGAATATGATTCATTGATACCCACGTCTTTGGAAGGCCAGTTTTTGAGAGAAAGCAATGGTTGAAAAGAATGGAAACGGAATCAACCCGAGACATTCTAATTGTGGGGGAAGGGTTCCCCTACTAAAACAGACAGAAAAAAGTTGGTACCCTTCTCCAAACCTCAAATCTGGAGAACCTAGTCTATGTACCCACGTCTTTGGAATCCACGTCCTGGGTCCTTGGCGCGCGCCAACGCGAACTCGCCACGCGCCAGGCGTTGCGGAAGGCCATCGCCGTGTCTCCCCGGGGGCAGCGGGCGTTGGAGCTGCTGGAGATTCGCGCCGGAAGTCCCAGTTGGCCGGGTCTTGGGGTGGGTTTTGTGTGTGTGTGTTTTTTTGGGGGGGGCTTTTTCAGGTGGGGTGGGGGGGTTTGGAAGGTGCTTGCTGGGTTGTGTACTTGCTTGGTTTTTGCGGAGTTGTTCTGGTGCGTTTAGAATGTTTTGATGGGTTGGGTTTTGGGGCTTTTTTTTTTTTTGGTGTGGGGGGGTAGGGGGGGTGGGTAGGGTTTTGGGTGGGGTTTTGGGTGCCCCCTCTCCCACCAGAGGGACAAGGATTAGACGTGAGGGAATCCATTTCCTTGGAGAAAGTTTGTTTGGAACGCCGCTTTTCGGTGCTTGTTGGGGCCACAAAAGAGTGGGAACATTTGGTTGGAGATTGCCAGTTTCTGTGTCATATTAGTGCGAGGGCATCCATACGGGGTTTGGCCCTAGTGCAGGAGTGATATTATGGAAGTCCTTGAATTGTAATGCTTTCATGTATGATTATTCCTTTCTGTCTCATTCATAGGCTTCTTTTCTTATTCATTTTCTTCCATTCTCGCTTTATTTGGTGTGGATGTCTCTTTGTTCTCTCTATTTCTTGTTGAGATTGTGAACCCCTAGACCTATTCCAAGCCTTTCCATTCCTTTCTTCTCCCTTCTCTTTCTTCGGGTGGCTGAATACTTTTTTCCTGATGAGTATGCTTCCCGCCGCCCCAGAGGTCGGACGCCGCCATGTGCTTTGTTCAAGGGCCTTTGTTTGGCAACTAGGGTTACAATATGCCGAGCAAACAATAT